ATTCTAGATAAATGATTTTTAAGTTAAAAATATTGTAAAGTTACTGAAAGAAAGTCAATTCTTATGACCATCGAAAGCAGCCCAGAAGAATGATTGCTACGATTACAAGATGTTTTATCCATTAATTAAAGAATGCCTTTTCCGGCTTCTTCGATATTTTATATTAACAAACACTAACCAATGTTATAGAAAATTATATAAGAAAATAAAAGTGAAAAATATTTAATAAAAAATCGTACTTATTCGATTAAAAATATACATATTTTTAATACTTATTTTACTAAGTATAATTACACGTATTTAACATAATATATTGAATATTCTTTTAATTAGTTCTCGTTAACATGAAGAGCTCATTTGTTTTTATATTTAATGTGACTTTAATTTTAAAATTTTGTCAATGAAAAGATCTTTAATTGAATAATAATAATGTAGCAACTTCCTTAGAAAAACTAATAAACTGTTTTGAAGGGAAGGAACATGAATTATGAATTATCTTTGACTGCAAAACAGAAAAAATGGTTAAATTAAATTTTTAAAAAAATTAATATGTTGTCATATTTTAGAAAAACTAATTAAAATTATTTAATGTTAACAATTTGGGTAATCGTGATTATCTATAGTACATTTCTGAGATCCGCAATAGATTTAAAATAAGAACTAAGGTGATCATCAATCCGGTTCAGAAGAGAAAGATGTGTGGAAATGGGAATTTAAATAACGTAGCGAACTATTTCAGTAGTACGAGAAGATAATTTAGATGCTTTTCAAACAAAGATGATGAAGCAACCCGTTTAACAGAATCATGAACTTGGACAATTAAGCATAGAAAAAGGTAGAGTGTTAAATTTTCATATATAGTGTTACAAAAAAGATGCACAGATATGGATTGGGGATAGAATTTTCTTCAATGATTTATAGTCTAAGATAACTCGATCCATGATTGTGACTTTTTCTTGGAGATGAAGTTTTGATATAGGATCTCCAAAGTGTCAAATCTAAGTAAAAAAGGAAAATCATGACACAAAATCACTCTTTAGAATGCATATTTGCAATAAGGACGTGGAGATATCAAATCATCTTCTTTTTAACTACAGGATTTTAGATGTCATATGGAAGAATATGCTATGAATGGCTTGGAGCTGAGGTGGTGTTACCAGGAAATCAGACAACATTTCAACTAGCCCACAAGTTTGACTTAAGTAATTTTCTCTAATGCAGAATTAAGTATATCCATATTTTGTCATTTTTCATGTTATAAATTATGACTAAACGTTTAGATAGATTATAAAATTAATTTAAACTACATTTTAACGTGAATGTCATAACTTATTGGCTATTGTTATTGGATAGTTATATATATATATATATATATATATATATATATATATATATATATATTTCAAACAATTATTCTAAAACTATTGATTAAAAAAATCAATAAATATAAATTTCATTAAAAATTACTAAAAAAATATATGAAAAGTCGTAATAGGAACTTTATAAGTAATAATTTTTAACACTTTTTCCATTTTTTTCTTTAATATTTTAGTAATTTTATTTTGCTAATTATTTTATAAAATTATTGAACAATTATTTCTATCTTTTCTAAAAAAATCACCTTAAATGATATAGTAGATAAAAGATATAACAAGAAATCAAGTAATATCTTTTATGAAATTTAGAATGCTGACTATTTTTTTAATTTATGTACAAAACATTAAATTCTAAATCCTTTTAGACTCAACATTTAATGATATTATTAATTAATTCTCACAACAATTTTACGATAATGATGATAAATTTTTTTGTCTAAACTACTGGATTTTTTCATAAGATAATCTGTTGAGCCGAATTATTATTTAAATATATTATAGATATAATAATTAATAATTCATTACAATTTTACTCATTTAATGATATTGATAACCATTCTCAAATTAATTTTACTGATAAAAATATACGTGGGAGATATAGAAGTTCGGATAATAACAGCATTTGTGAGATGTGTATATCTATGAAAAATATAAAAAGGAAATGGGTGCCTTGACATGAATGTTTCATAACTTAATGTATGTTAGGTCCAATATAAGTTAGTTTTTCAATAATCGAAATTCGTGTAATGTCACTTTATTTTATAAATTATTATTTAGTTTTACTAACTTTTTTCAAAGCTCTTTAAAAAAAATTGTCGTCATTTTTTTGAATAATTTATATCCAATTAACATGCAGTTATAGTGCGAATATATACCCATGAACAGCATAGAAACGCACGCGTAACTATACATTTTTGTAAGTGTAAATTAACACTAAAGCCTTATTTAATAATATTAAAAAAATATAAATTAATTTAAACATATAAGAAAATGATTACTTTCGTGTGCTATACTTAGTTCCAATTAAATAAAATCTTCCCTTTCTTAAAACTTTATTATAAGCATATTTGTTTTAAGTTTTTCCAATCATAACAGAAATTTAAAGTTAATATTAACAACAAATATGAATAATAAATTAATTTTAATTCTCATTTCTTTTAAAATCGATTTTGAATGTTAATCAATCAGCCTCTGCACAGTACTTTGTTTTGAATTTTCTAATTCTACCCATATTTAATATTCCGTATGCAATGGTGTCATCAGCAAGTGATTGTCATGCTTATGCTACATCGGCTATACATGGTAGGTTATAGGTCCCTGTTAAAAGAATATGTTTGTATATATTTTAATATATTTAAGCGTGCATTTAAAAACTCGCATACATTAAAGAATAATGCTACGAATATACTTTTTTAATACGTTCTTTATTATTAACTAAAATTTATTAAAAACTAAAAATGTAACGTGTGTCTTGCTAATTTTTCTCTTTTATTTATTTAATTTTTAATAAATTTTAATCAATATTGAGATTAAAACTCAATAAGTAAATGTAAGATATTTTTTCACTTTTAGAAACCCCTTCCTTGAGCACCGTCCATGGTAGACTAAGGCCTGTGACATGTGACAAAAGTAAAATGTGAACATGGAAAATTTTGAAAGTTACAATTTAATTGTGCACAAAAATTAAAAAAGAAAAACAAGTTTTAATGTAAACTAATTAATGACTGCAAAAGGCAAGGATATAGTATTTGAAACCAATTAATGCATTTTTATGGACAAACACAGGGTTAAATGACTTGCCACGTTTGTGATTTGGTTGAGCTTCTATGTCTTTTGGTCGCAAGAAGAAGATGCAGAGATAGTATTTAATTGACCCACTTGACACTAATTAACGTACGCCACAGAACCTAGACACTACTCCATGGCTAAAAGTCACAAGCTACAAGTACTGCTTAAGCATCTCAATGTCATTGTTAACCCTAATTTCGTTCTCATTGTTAAAGCTTCTAAAACGTTTTTATATATACAAAATTGGATGTGTAACGACCACTATATGAAGAAGCATTAATTAATAACCCTATGTACTTTTTTTTTACTAATATGAATTATGAAATCAGAAGTGCTAAACCACGTAATTGTTCTTCTAACTATTTGGCTCCTTCTAAGCAGATTCTCTTGTAACTTGTAAGGCAGCAAAGCACTAACAGTTCAAAATATTAAAGAGATGCAAGCTTGCATATTGTTGTCTTTTTCTATTTTTTTAAGTAAATTTTATTTTAAAAAAAATGTGAAACTGATAAAGTCTAGGTTGACCCAAATTAAATTATGAGACAAAATTATGCCATGTCTCCAAAAATAGGTACATGATGCAAAGAAGGTTACAAATGCGCATCGATTTGAAGTTTTAGACATTAGTGGGCATTATTAAAAATGAAATATGTGTATAGCCATTTATTGTAGTGCAATAATGTTTAAGTGTGTGGGATATCAAAATAAAAGGTTCAATCAAATTGAAGAAGATGGCACACAAATCTTTCCCCGAGAAAATGAATGTGTTAAACTCAAGTGTGAATCAGTGACAAATTTCAGCAATGGAGAAATATTTATTGTCGATGCTGGGGAAAATACAGACAGGTAAAGAAAAATTAAATTGAAATCAAGATTTCGAGACACAGACCATTGTTAGTAGGAATAATCGCATCGTATAGTTTTAATTCGATTTTATATAAGATCCCTAATTTAATTACAGATAAATTATCGAATGATTTTATTTTTATATTTTTTCACTTCATGAAATTAATTAATATTAAAGGAATCCAAAAATACATCGTAATCATATTAAATATTTTCTTAAAATATCAATTATCACATTTAAAATATAAATATTTCTTAAAATCAGATATTAAAATACAGTCATGTAAATCTTCAGAATATATAATCGGGATAATGAAATTATGAAGAAAAATAAATAACAAGGTAATTTCATAAATCTCTACTCATAAAAATATGTATTGTATATGATAATTTTATAAATAAAATTATGTACGTGTATATAAATTTGAATTAAAATGAATTAAATTGATTTTAAAAATTAAATTCAAAATTCCTTCCAATTCAATAAAGTATACATTTTTCCTTCGGTTTGAATATTTTTCTTTTTCAATTTGATATACATATAGAATATGTTATTTTTTTATACTAAAAAAATTTATATACTAATGTATTGTATCAAAATTATAATAGAAGGAAATTTAACATAAAAGTGTTAGTATATAACTTCTTTTTTGTTATGTTAATTACCATTCTATTAAAAATATAGCTTATGCAACTTCCTTTTACTTTCTATATCTATTAAGGTCCGATTTTGTTTTTATGCATGATTTTTTCAGTGCATCAAATTGTTTTTGGTCAACTTGGTTTACACGTTGAAAACAACCTCCAATGACAAAAAATGAAAAGAAAAGAAAACAACCTCCAAAGACTTTTCTCCGTTTATTGATATTTCTTTGGGCTCGAACCCATGAGCCCCAATTTAAGAGGCTTGTGAATTGGAGTAACAAGTACAAGGCCCGCTTGACCAAAAATAATAAAAGGCCCACTGAGCCCCCTCTCTCTCTCTCTCTCTCTCTCTCTCTCATCTTGGCGAAGCAAAGTATCGAGTTCCTCAGGTAAACCCCTTGTTCTGCGTCAACTCAGCTCAGAGCTGAATTTTCAGGTTTTTGTTAATTTTAGCATTGCTACAACAGATAATGGACGCTTAAAGTTATTACTTAAGTTTTTGTTATTTGACTAAAGTTAGTAAGAATTAGGGTTAGGGGCATTGTATCTTAATTCATTATCTGATTAGTCTCCATTTCGTGTCAAGGTTTCTTCATCAGGTGCTGTTTCAGTATTCAATTATGGCGTATGAAATAAGTGAAATGAAGAGTAAGAAACATCGCAATGCAAGTTCGATAATGAGTTCTCGGTTTATATTTTATTCTGATTTTTTTAAGTGTTGAACATTATTGGCATTGCATGTGCTTTAACCTCGGGGATTTTCATGAACCTGCAGAGGTTGGTATAGGTCTAATTGGTTTCGGCATTTTCTTCACATTTCTTGGCATAGTTCTTTTCTTTGATCGTGGTTTGCTTGCTCTGGGAAATGTGAGGCCTGATTCTAAAATCTAAATTTCCCTTAACCTTTTTCTTTGGAATGGAGGTTTGTGTAGGCCTAATTTTGGGCTATTCTGGAATCAGATTTTTTCCTTGGCAGGGGTAGCAATTTTGCTCGGTTGGCGTTCCACGTTGACACTCTTCACTGATAGAGCAAACTATAAGGCACTTTTCTCTCCCTCTCGCTTCATAGTAATAGTGAATTGCTTGTTGAATGTTTGTTAGGTATTGCTTTTATGCTTATACACTAAGGGTATGGCTGTTTCTTAGCTTTTACTAAGTTATGACAAAATTGTTTACATTAGATCAAAGAATGAAAGGACACATTTTTCATCCCTTAAATTGAAAAGGATCTGCAATGAGTAGATTCATATATATTCTGATATCTACAGGACAAGAAGCATTCCCTGTTTTTCTGACCCATGATTTGTATTTTATCAATACGCATATCTGTTTGATAGCATATACCCTGGCAAAATCAAAGTACATTTTTCATCCCTTAAAATTTTTCAGCAGCAGTTATTTGCTTTGGACTTCCTGCACGTCTTTCTGTGATGAACCTTTAAGCCCAACAGATATTCTGTTTGAATTGATGCTGATCTGTTGTATCTTTTTTCCTTTGTTCTTCTACTTTGCCACATCATATCTTATCGTTAATCCTCTACTGTCTTTAACCAACTTGATATTAATTTTCCAAATTCTTTATGAATGGATGATGAAGCCTTCTATGTGAAGATAACTAGCTTGCTTTGCCTCTTTTGCAGGGTTCTGCATCATTTCTTCTTGGTCTCTTTTTCATTTTTGTGAGGTGGCCAATAGTTGGTATAATACTTGAAATATATGGTTGTGTTTTTCTCTTCAGGTTAGTTGATGGCATCCTTCTTGAGCTCTACAAAACTTATCATTCTACTCTTATCGTTGATGCTTTTTGTTGCAGTGGTTTTTGGTCATCTATCAAAGTGTTCCTCTACCATATCCCTGTCGTTGGATGGATTATACAGTTCATTTCTCGTAAGTTTTACTGTGCAAATTCATTTTCAATGTTTCATGGAAGTATTAATAATTTTTATATGAAAACTATTTATGTAAATTCAATTAAATAAGGATAGTATAGTTTTATGATAGCTTCTAGTTCTAACTACTATTTCTAATAAAGAATGGAATAGCATTGGTCCCACAAATGTACCTATATAACTTCACAATCCATTGGATTTGATTTAATTCAGTGCGTGTAACTACAAGGTTTGTAACAACCCGCTCACATGACAAGTGGGGCAGGAAAGAAAGGAATAGAGAAGGGTAGGCAGAAATTGAGCATGTGCTTCAGGTCTATGCTCAGCAAGGAAGGTGGATCCTTCTATTGATATCCATCTATATCAGTAGCAGAGAGTGAACTCTGGTGTTGATTTAATAAGATTTTCTGCCCTGATTACCAGTCTCCTATATGCTACCCACAAGGGATGACTCAAGTGATAAGGCCTGCATGACACTTAAGGCTGCTGCAGTATACCAAACATGGACAAGTCTCGCTTCCAAAAGTTTCACGGAAACCTCATATAATAATAATTGTAATAATAATACAAAAATGAAAATTGAATTAAATTAATATTCTTGATCTAGGAATTTCGAACTAAATTTTCTGTTTATATATGGCATGAATAACTTTACTATGAAAGGATATGTTGATTTGCGTGGAGCTTAACATTCATTTCTTCGATTTTGCAGCTCCTTGATTGTCTCAGAAGGGGATTTGACTGATCGCTTCGTAGGATATGGCTAATAATGGGGTTCAATTGCCTTACTAATTTTTCCCTGACTTCTGCGTGAATATCGGATGTTAAGCTAGCTGTTCTAAGGGTTTGCATCTGGGAAATTAACTTCCTTAGTGAGAAGTACCATGGCATGTTAATGCATACCAAAGAGAAGTTGATACTCGGTAGACATAATTTGTTGCTTCAAGGCTCATACTGTCCTTATTTTATGTTTTAATGTGAACAAGAATACAAGCTGGTTATGCATTCAGTTGTCTACCAGCATGAACGCTTACTAGTGATGACACACTGAATTATTGATGGAAAATGAGAATGGTGTATGTAACATTATAATGATTGGCCAGCGTGCAAGATTAACCGTTTACCGCCCTGTCAAGACCTAGCCAGAATATTAAAATTCTTATTGTTTGTATACGTTCTGCTTATTAATGATTCGCAGGATATGGCTTTGTATGTTTTCTTCTTGTGTTTTTATTGAGCATCGAAGATGAGGGTTCTGTTTTAGCCGGGTTTATCTTGCAAATGTCGAATTGTTCCATCCTTCTTTTCACTTTACAGCGGTTCTTTAGCATCCTTCGTCATCGCATCTGTGTTGCTCATTTATTTATAATTTCTTAATGTCTTTTATCTTTCTCATTTATTACTTTGATGTTTTATGTATAATTATTTTTGGTTTTTTTACCAATACTTTTTTTAAACAATTTACCAAAAAAATGTAAAAGAAATAATTTTTCAGTCTGGAGTGATTTTGATTACGTGTACTAGGAGTTTTGTCCATGTGAAGAGTGAAATAATAAAATAATATTAAAAAAAAACTATCATTTTTGTAAAAGGTAATATTCTCTCGGGTTAGCAGGTGACAATTTTGTTGAAGTATATGTTTGAAAAGAAAAAGAACATGTAGCTTACCAATGTGCAGATATGCAAATATAATCTACATTTTAGGCAAAATTTAGAAAAAAAAAATGAGGAGCTTAAGGAATATATTATCTAATACATTTTTTAAAAGTATAAAAAATATTTAATTAATAGTGAGAAATTGTAAAATTTATATAATTTTTGTAATTTTTAATAATTTTTAGTCAATATTTAAAAGTGTGTTGGAAAGAATAAACATTCAAACTAGCATTAGAGAAAAAAGAAATTAGATATAAAAATATTATTTTTACTTTTGAAACAATATATAAAAAAAATGAAGAAATATAAAATTAAACACAAATGCCCAAAACACCTTTAAATTATAGGAGAGGGGTATTAATAACATATATCAATATTTAATTTCTTAACTAGGAGCATTCATTAATATGCATAGATTAAAATGTGCTAATATGCATAATTTGATAAGTTTTGACAGCCGTGTTGACGAAAAGAAGAGAACACATGGGAAGCCTCTTCAAAGTGCAATATATATGTTATATAATCATAGATTTTTCAACTTGCATGAAAGCCTTCAAATATTAAAACTGACCAATTTTTTTGAATGGTTTGGTTATTGATCCGAATCATTCTTCCCCATTGATCGCTAGTCATGTGCTAAAGTGTTTGTCGTTTATTGAAAATTTTCGAGAAGATAAACTCAATGATTAAATACTATGGAGTAACAAATGTATATTAAAGTGTTTGTCGTTTATATTATTTAATATATATATTAAAGTTACAAATGTATATTTAAAATGATAACAGAAACTGCTTAGTTATATTATAATTATTAATGATATTAGAAAGGTTAATTTTGATCCATTATTAATATAAAATTTTTATTGTGAATAAAATTTATATATTAATTACTAAAAATAATAATATTTTTTATTGCTATAATAATTTATAATAAAATAATAATATAAAAATATTTACGTTGTAAGTGTATTTAAATTAAATTTATAATAAAATAAATATAACTCACACACGTGTGTCTATGCATGCAAGCGGGTTACAGGTTCGAGGGGATATTGGGTTTAAGTTACCGATCATTGGCTATCAATATCTGTAGTTTTTTTTAACGGATTTTTGTGGTTTTGTAAAATAACAACAAAATAAGAAAAAGACAAAAGAGACCCTCTGACTATATACTTATCTTGAAAGGATAGCACCGCCACCAGCAAGTTTCAAGTAAGAAATTGGCACATGATGCATTTTTTATACACTACACAAAATTGGAAAGTCTCATAATGTATATTGGGACTGTTTATTTTACCTTTTTTTTGTTTACTTAGTGTCAATTTATAAGAAATGAATTAAAAATTATAATAACTCCTACTTACTTATATAATTTTATTAAATGTGGGTTGACAATTTTAATTAACCCAAATGAATTTAAAAAGTAAAAACATACATCAAACCCTTAAATCCATTTTTTTTACAAATTTTAGTAATTTGGTCAAAATATTAGATTAAGATAATAAAACGTGGCTATGTTCATAGTATGAACGATCATGTGGCTCAAAGGAGTCTAGGAATTAACAACTCCAAATAGAAGGAGAAAAAAATCACTATGCGGCAATTTGAAGAGATTGATGCCATTCAAGTTCTTACAATCATAGTTTATAATACTAGTGGTTTGAATTTTTATGAGATTAGACTTTCATCTTTTAATTGCATGATATAATAAAAGTGAAGACCTAAATCATGATTAACGCGATTCGCGTGATTTCTTTTCTTCGTCTAAAACGTGTAATGCTAAACAATCTGTAAGTTTGAGCAAAAACATTGCTGCGAACGCAAATAAATGAAGCCTTGAATTTTGGAGCATTCAATTTTGATTTTCCTTAACTTACCTTAAATTTATTTGATAATAGTTCATTTAACTGTTCTATATGTTCAATCTTTTGCTTCATAAGATGAGTTTTATAAAACAAATTTGAAAAACATTATCTGGAGGGAAATTTCGAGTGAGTATCGACCTCTTTCTATTCATTCTTTAGATAGTAAACAACTAATCAAGCATTTCAAAAGTAATTATGTTATTTATTTATATTCTTATCCATAAGATGAGCGTGGGCACATGGAGATTGGCATAATTGGTGGGGTTTGAAAATATGAACATTGCTACGTGGGAATTCAACATGGAGGCCGCGAAAGAAGATTCAAATATTAATCTAATCGATGATTTTTATTTTTTATTTTTTATTTTTTACTTTCTTTTTGCAGTGTATACATCTGAGGCACGATCAGGGATCATCATCATCAGAATTAAAATTTTCTTAATATCTTTTTATTTATTATTCTTTTTTCAGTGCATATTCTATTTTTAATCTTATTTTTTTCCATACCTTTTGAAACTAAAAAGAATGCAAAATGAAATTTAAAAAAATCATTATAAGACTACGGTGACTGTCATTTATCATCAACCAGTGTGGCATAATGGCTATATGTTATGCTAGTGGATCTTTTGATATTAATGCTAAATCAAATCTGAAATGAAGAACTAATGAAATTCAACGCTTATGTTAGTAATTAATAAAACATAAATTGATGCGTCCGTTTCAAAAAGTAAAGCAATGTAATTACTACTTGCATTGATTTAGAATATCAAAAAATTGAATTCTCTCAAGTCTCAATTCGAACTACGAAGTACAGATTAATATTTTATGAAAGTTTAAATTGTTGTTTTTTCATCGATGATTTCAATTATATACATTTCATTTCACTTTAGAAAACCCATTTGATTCAATGATTGTCCTTATTTTTTTACCAGCCTCCTACCAAACCAAGGCTGTTGTTCATACTCATCGCGCGATGTCCAAATTTTTTTTATTGTTTATTTTTTAAGAGTAATTTTAACCCTTTAAAAAATTAATTATTTCAACAAAAAAGACTGAACAATCATCATATATAAGTGACATTTTCAAAATCCAAACTTTAATTTTCACCAAAAACACAATTCACATAATAGCGTTCAATTTCTTATAAGTTTCCAATGCCCTAAATTTTGAGTTTATAATTGTCTCCTCTATGGACTTTGCTTTAGGATATCTTTCATGACAGAATGGAAAATATCAAAATATTAAAAGACAACAATTGATCTTGCACAATAGAATTAATTGGAATATTTATATTATAGATTTAATTAATAAAGTCTTACTATTTCATATAGCTAGGTTAGGACTTATAAGTATTCTACAAATATTTTTTTGTATGAAAATGCCTATTATGTATTTTGAAAAACATGTTCTTATTTCTCAAGTATGAATTCTATGATAAAATTTGATTGTATGGCCGGGCAAATTCTGAATCTTACACATTACCCATTAATTTCAGTCTTCCTTTTCTCGTCAAAGTTTACTCAATACTAGGTTATTTTCGGTCTTCATAATTGTAATAACCTTTACCAGTACACCTAAACCTGAGAAATTTTTGAAATAAAATAGGTAATTGGAGTGGTCCTCTTAACGACTTTAACATAATTAGCTCCTCTAAATGGCAAACTCTTTCTTTGACTTTCTCTGATTTATACAATATAAGCATTAAAAAAAGGGCACAGCCACACGTCTAAGCCACTATCATATACTTCTACTCTCCTTCTAACTTAATAATGCCCCCACCGATCTATTTCTGACTATGGTGTTTAATTACGGAACTAAATTGAAAAACATTGTCTGATTCAAATTTAATGATCCAATGCCCGGTTCAGCAGAAATTACTTCCTATCAAACATACTTATGATTTAAACAAAATAATAATAATAATGATCAAATGGCTCATTTTCCCTTAACAACAGTTATCACCAATTGGATGAAACATCTAGACTTGAATGATCAGAGACGTTATATTACACGGCATTGACTGTGATTAAAACAATGATAGAAAAAGGATAGAAAGAAAGGCACCAACGTGGTTCTTAATTAGAATATATGGTACATAATAGTTGCTAAGCGCACATGGGGACATGCAAATTTTAATAGAAAAGTCACTTGAAGTGAAATCCCATTTATGATTTAGAGTAAATGTGTAAGACAATTACTATTTCAGACTCATATTGCACGTCGATATAGTTCCTTTACTTTTTCCTTATAATAGAAAGTGGTAAAATTGTAACAAATAAAAAAGAAATAATGGTAAAAAGAGTTCACTCTAATTAATACTACTTAAGTATACATAGATTCATTCAAGAATTTACTTTCAATATTCTTTTTTCATGAAAAAGTCTGCTCGATAAAACAAACGCTTGTGCTCAGTTTAACAAGATCATGAGAATTATTTTAATAATACTTTGTGCAACTGCAAATTTAACAATTTCATCGTAAGCATATCACATGCATTGAATATTTCCATTCTGTGAGCACGTACGTTTCAATTTGAAATAGTTGCGATCCGTTCTTTTACAAAGCCGACCCTCAATTATTAAAAGCTGCAAATAAAACTATTTCCATCTCTCGGATGCATTCAGAAAATTTCCATGTGACCAAATAAAGAAAACATTAAGGAAATGATTTATTGAATGCCATTTGCCACTAATGTTATATACGTGCAGTGACAGTAGTTATGATCAGAGATCGATACTGGCCCAGAAATATGTTATTTGAATTAGTTATGTTACATTTTCTTAAAATCAATCAAAACCAAACACATCGATACGCAGCTTAAATTATATATTAAAATGTTATACATATATACCATGTTTTGGGTAGTTGAGAACATGTAAATAAACGATATTTTCTATAACATTTAGTTTAATATTTTTTATTTGCACGTTAAGACCCCGCGAACACTTGCAAAATAGGGGAAACAGTTTCCACACATATGATTATTATCCATCGGTAACAATATCTGCTTGCAATTACTTTGGACAAATTAAATTATGACGACCCTCTCATGGATATATATCGATGATGCAAAATAAACTATTCACTTTACCTTTCGCTCCAAAAGAAAAACAAGTTAAAAAAAAGAAGGAAAGGACGCAAAAGCATTTTGAAGTTTGCTCTAGTCAAGAGAGGCAACTTAGAAGGGCAGCTAGAGAAAATGATAAAAGAACATATTTATTTCTTAACTATAGAGTAGAAATTAATGCCAATTTATATTTGAACGAGTAGTTGGAATTTCATTTTAAAAATGAGTTTGCTGAAACCGAGCCATTTGGATCAAAATAACCAAAGTAATTATCAAATAATGCTTAAAAAGTCACAAGGCCAGCTGGGGAAGCTTCATTTGACGCATTAAAATTAAAATGGAATCAATTTGACGTATGAATTGGTCCCTCATTGCAGCTTCCTTCAATGCTCATCACTGCAGCTATAAATATGCATTTCATGCAGCTTTCTTAGTCATCACTCTCTATATCTCTAACCCAAATTCTCTCCACTTTATCAGCAAAGATATCTCTAATCATAGACATTGGCTGGCGAGTCCTTGTAGCTACTAATGACCGCCAATAGAAGTGGTCGTCTTAGGCCACAAATGGCCATTGCATTGGCCATTGTTCTGATTTCCTTCAATGTGGCATCAGTAGTGGCTGCTGATGGTTACCTTTACTCACCTTCTCCACCACCACCACCACCACCATCATATGAATACAAGTCACCACCTCCACCACCACCTTATGAGCACAAGGATCCACCTTATCAATACAAGTCTCCACCTCCTCCACCACCTTCTTATATGTACAAGTCACCACCTCCACCACCACCATATGAGCACAAGGATCCACTTTATCAGTACAAGTCTCCACCTCCTCCACCACCTTCTTATGTGTACAAGTCACCACCTCCACCACCACCTTATGAGCACAAGGATCCACCTTATCAATACAAGTCTCCACCTCCTCCACCACCTTCTTATGTGTACAAGTCACCACCTCCACCACCACCTTATGAGCACAAGGATCCACCTTATCAATACAAGTCTCCACCTCCTCCACCACCTTCTTATATGTACAAGTCACCACCTCCACCACCACCATATGAGCACAAGGATCCACTTTATCAGTACAAGTCTCCACCTCCTCCACCACCTTCTTATGTGTACAAGTCACCACCTCCACCACCACCTTATGAGCACAAGGATCCACTTTATCAGTACAAGTCTCCACCTCCTCCTCCACCTTCTTATGTGTACAAGTCACCACCTCCACCACCACCTTATGAGCACAAGGATCCACTTTATCAGTACAAGTCTCCACCTCCCCCACCACCTTCTTATGTGTACAAGTCACCACCCCCACCACCTTCACCCTCTCCACCACCACCTTACTATTACAAGTCTCCACCCCCTCCTCAAAAGTCTCCACCGGTGGATCCTTATTACTACAAATCTCCTCCTCCTCCATCTCCATCTCCTCCTCATGATCCTTACTACTATAAATCTCCACCTCCTCCATCTCCTAAGCCTAATCCATCCTACTACTACAACTCCCCTCCTCCACCGGTCACGTATCCTCCACATCTTCACCCTTACCCCCACCCATTCATTGTGAAGGTTGTGGGTAAAGTCTATTGTTACAGATGTTATGATTGGAGCTACCCTAAAAAATCGCATGACAAGAAACACCTCGAAGGTACATATATACATTACTTTTATTTCTTTTTGAACCATTATAGACATCATTTTAGGTTAAAACATGTTAGTTTGTGAAAATATTTAACTGCATTTTTTGTTTTCTTCAATTTTTTAATTGGAGATGTGAGTTTTTGTTTTTTTCTATGTTCCTTCCATTAATGTTCTTGGTCAAGCTCATATATTATATTATTTGTATGATTCTATCAGTATATTGATATGTCGTTGTGTCGTAGAATTTCAACTGCACTTTCACATAAGCCGTTATCTTTTTATTTATTCAAAAGATACCAATTTATTTTCATCTCTCGGTTATTTATGGGAATTCAAATCACCTTCTTAATTATATTTCCTTCCTTGTATTTTAAGTAAAATGATCTTTTAAAGAAATATTTTTAAAAAGTTCTGTTTAATAATTAGTTTTTATTCATGTGCATTTTCAATTACAAAAATATAATAAAAGAACAAGTATATTTGGGACAAAGCATTCAATTCGTTACTAAATTGTGTGCTTAAGTATTGAACTATTAATTAAATTCCATGGGTACAACCCACTATCTAACCAGCTGTTTAAGGATTGAGAAACTGATTTGTGCTTAACATGTGTGATTCACGCATTGTTGTGATCGCTGTATTATGAAACAGGTGCCACGGTTGAAGTGACATGTGAAATCGGAAGTAAAACTATCAAAGCTTACGGTAAAACTAAGAGCAATGGAAAGTACAGCATCACTGTGGAAGGCTTTGACTATGTCAAATATGGATCCACGGTCTGCAAGGCCAAACTTTATGCCCCTCCTAAGGACTCACCCTGTAAGATACCTACCAAGTTGAACGAGGAAACAACCTTGAAGGTGAAGTCCAAGGACAAGCATGAAGTTGTGCTCAAAGCTAAGCCATTTGCTTATGCTCCGGAAAAGCCATATGTAGAATGTAAAAAACACAAGCATTCACCAACACCTTATCATAAGTACACCCCTAAACCATATTATTATAAGTCTCCTCCACCACCTTCATCTGATCCACACCCATACACCCCATATTATTACAAGTCACCACCTCCACCATCACCCTCACCTCCTCCATATTATTATAAATCTCCTCCACCACCAAAACAATTGCCAGACCCACATCATCCTTACTACTACAAATCTCCGCCTCCTCCATCTCCATCACCACCACTTCCCTATTACTACAAATCACCACCACCGCCACCATCCGATCCATCATCACCACCTCCATACTACTACAAGTCTCCACCTCCTCCATCCCCATCACCACCACGTCCTTACTATTACAAGTCACCTCCACCACCATCTGATCCATCACCACCACCTCCATACTACTACAAGTCTCCACCTCCTCCATCCCCATCACCACCACCTCCTTACTATTACAAGTCACCTCCACCACCATCTGATCCATCACCACCACCTCCATACTACTACAAGTCTCCACCTCCTCCATCCCCATCGCCACCTCCTCCATACTACTACAAATCACCGCCACCACCATCTGACCCATCACCACCTCCTCCATACTACTACAAATCACCACCACCACCATCTGACCCATCACCACCACCTCCTTATTACTACAAATCACCTCCACCACCATCTCCTTCGCCACCTCCTCCTTACTACTACAAATCACCACCACCACCGTCTGATCCATCACCACCACCCCCTTATTACTATAAGTCACCTCCTCCACCATCTCCATCACCGCCTTCTCCTTACTACTACAAATCACCACCACCACCATCTGATCCATCACCACCACCTCCTTATTACTACAAGTCACCCCCTCCACCATCTCCATCACCACCTCCTCCATACTACTACAAATCACCGCCACCACCATCTGACCCATCACCACCACCTCCTTATTACTACAAGTCACCTCCACCACCATCTCCTTCGCCACCTCCTCCTTACTACTACAAATCACCACCACCACCGTCTGATCCATCACCACCACCCCCTTATTACTATAAGTCACCTCCTCCACCATCTCCATTACCGCCTTCTCCTTACTACTACAAATCACCACCACCACCATCTGATCCATCACCACCACCTCCTTATTACTACAAGTCACCGCCACCACCATCTCCTTCGCCACCTCCTCCATACTACTATAAATCACCACCACCACCATCTGATCCATCACCACCACCTCCTTATTACTACAAGTCACCTCCTCCACCACCACCTATCTACAATTAAGCTTGGAACAAGTCATGTAAGTAAACAATCTTAAAACAAATAAATATCTTTTGATTTACATTTATAGATCTTAAAAGTATTGATTTTTTTTAATTCTATTTCAGGTTCTAGTATTCATCGTGGAATAAAGTTTCATTCGGAGCGTAGTAATTAAAGGATTCAATTTGTTGTCCAAGTTATTTGAATAAAAGTCTAAATGCATCTTTTCTAAGCTACAATCTTCATGATTCAGATGAGGTTGCTTCTATTTATTTGACGGTCATCTTGCACATTTTGTGCTTAGTGAGTTCAAGGGAGGGAAAAATTAAAATGAGGAAGAAGATTTTAAAATGATGTCAATTGAAAGTGAATGCAACCTGCCTCTAGAGATCTCAGTTATTTGTTTCTTTGTAGATTAATATGGTTGATCATGTATCATTGCATTTCTGATTATTAATTATTAATGAATTCTTTGTTATATCTTCTTGGGTTGTTTGCAATTAGATTACCAACACATTTAGTGTAAAAAGAGTATCAAAGGAGAACAATATTTTCCTTCATTTTCCTATTAACCAAATAATCAATATCATAATCCCTTCGGTGAAAACAATTTACATATTATACATAATGAAAATTTAGTGTTATTTTTTAATTAAAATTTTACTTAAATAATATATGTTGTGAAAATATGAATTAAAAGTTAGTATATATACTTACATATTATCGAAGTTTTAGTAAGAACTGTAATTCTGATAAAAAAAAATCAACATTAACAGTAACAGTAATTATGATATTGCACTTAAGTTTTGTCCTTTCCATCAGGTTGTAATTTATTTTATTAAAATAGAAATATTTAATAAATGAGTTTATTTTACTAGTTTGTGGTTATGTTTGATAAAGAAATTTTAAAATGTCTTAAAAGTTATTTTTTATTTAAAATTAATAAGTTAATTTATTGAATTAAATTATGTAATAAATTTAATTATTAAATAAGCTAACAAATATAAAATAATATAAAAGGTATATTTATATATTTTTATTTATTTTAGGTAGCTATAATTTAAGGTTTTTTAGTTTGTATGGAAGTCTTTTTATTTGTGTTGAAAAAATAAATATTCTATTCAATTTTTTTAAAAAATATTATAGATTTATTCGGATTAATTTTTATATTAATTTTATAGTAAAATTGATCTTTAAATAAAAATAAAAAATTTAAAAACTTAAAAACTATAATTCCCTAAAGTTTTTATCTGTAAAATAAAATTTATTTAGAAAATCATATAACATCTCGTTTATATGTTTATTACCTTACAATGTAAAAGAAAAAAGAACATATTTTTTTATATGTCGATATATATTTATTACCTTATTTAATAGCTATTTTTACTTAATACTTCAAATGTAATAATTATCGAATGCAAATCTTAAAGATCTCATAAGTAAACTCCTAACCCAACGGTAACCATTAGCCAAGATCATATACAAAAGAATTGTCACTTCAAAACATCTTAACGTAGATGAAGACTTTCTTTCTGAATGACGTCGTTACTTTCGTCGTCCACCTCTCTAATTTTAACAGAGACAATTGCAAATATTGGCAAATGTAAAAGAAATAGTTGACATTTTTTTTTTATCCTAAGATGATTGTAAAATAAACATGCAGCTTACAGGAAGTTGCATAGCTTAAGAATATTATAAGCATATCTTTTGTAGCCACTAGCATCAAAATGCAAATCAAAACCAAATACACACTATCTTCCTGATTGTTGCAGGCCTGCAGATAATTAATGACATCAATTAGAAGATACACAATTTGGAGTGAAGAGAATACAGTAATAACTAAACCAATACTCAATCATCGCCAGGAGGGAGTTTGCAATGTCAAAATTAATGACAAAAGTGGCATGTTAATTTTTAAGTGTTATTACTACGGTTTACTAAATAAAATTTAAGTTTTACTTTAATAAAATATTATATTTAATATTATTGTAAATTATTAAAATAACACTCAAATTTTGATTAAAACAAAAAGTAATAACAAGCCAAATTCATTACCATACCACAAAACTTCCCAAATGAAATTTAATTTGAAAAAAAAAAGTGAATGAAAACTGAATTACAACATATTGATCTGTATCATCTTGAGTATTGTCTAATAATTTAATTAACAATTTTTTATTTATATATTATGGGGTTATCTTATGAAAACAAGAATGAAGTTCCTGGCAATGCTCGATGCATGCCGACTTCACACTATGAAACAGCCCTTTAGACCTTTTGCATAATTACCGTACATAACTAAATGACAAATACCATTAACATTGACTCATTTAATTCTAGAGAAAGTATTTGCCCATAACTCATATGTAGGGAATACGATGAACAAAGGAACTAGTACTAAAAAAATGTTAGATATTTTTAATTAGAAAAGAAAAAGAAGAAGAAATTGTCAATATTTCTGAACTGAATCACTCAATATCATTGATTCTGTGACTATATAAGAGGGAATCTAGCTCATTGAGCATAGTTTCATGCCAAAATCCAGATGATAGCCATTCAACTTTTTTAATTAAATGCATCGCTTAAGGTGTAAACCCAATTTAATTAGTAGCTGAATAACAAACTATTTCATTCTATCATTACAGTTTGTTGAACAATTTTAGTGGCAACCAAGTTTTATGATTAAGTGAATATCCAAATCAGCATCTTTGACAACGAATCTGGTATGTTAAGGCAGTTGCTTAATGTTCTCATCCATCTTGAAAAGTGAAAAGCATGCATCCAAACCTTTGGCTACCCTAAATTATGTGTATACTTTCAACTGACCAAAGCTTAATGATCCATCATTTCATTCAGAGGAAGTTCATATTGAGCTCTCTTGTGCATGACTACCAAAACTACACGCATAAACTAATTATAATTATAATATTGTGTGCATCTGTGGAGAAGTATCTACGCGTCTGTCCCATGAACAAAGGGGAAAAAAACAAAAGGAACAAAGAAAGATGGAAGATCAATCATGTAGGTTACATCAAATGCCAGGATCACAAAAGATGCACCTTAAGAAATTTTCCTCTTTCATATTTTGTTGTTGCCATCACTATTTTGCTGTGTACCGATTTTTGTTGAGAATATGGACTACATTAGCATTCTCCATATACTCCATCTTCATGCATGTTTTAGTAAAACATCTTTGTTAAACGGAAATATGCTATCATGAAGAATGCAATTAATGCAGATCCATTTTTGGAGTTTATACTTGGGTCTTATACCCTAACCCACGGAGCATGCCTGCTATGTTCTGCAAATGTTAGTTTCTCATTTATGAGCATAACTATTATTTAGAATTTCGGTAACAATATTGGCCCATTTTTGTGGGCATAATCTCTTTATTTTCTTTTTCTTTCAAATAAGCAATCTAGCTTCTTTCTTCTTTCCTCGTGATATTACATTTAGTCTCGTTTTCACTGTTATTTATTTTATTGCATCTTGTTAATCAATAATAAACTACGTTTAACTATGCATTAACAATATTTTTATTAATGTTTTAACCAGTACCTTACATACATTTGTTAATCATTTTTATTTTATGTTAACAAAGTATTAATCAATATAATGTTTCAAAATCATTCGTTAAGGAAAGTAAAATAAAAAATTATAAAATGTATTATTAATATATTTATTACATTTTTTTAATTCACTTTTAATATAATTTATAATAAAAAAAATTATTTACAAATTTCTTAATTAGTACTCTTGAATATGCTGTATATATGCGGTGGAGTCTTTGTTAAATTGGGAAATAGATGGCAGATGCAAAACTCAAGGCCACTAGCATTCCAGATGTCATGAACAGAATAAAGAACAGATACCAAAAATCAGACAAGTTAATTGGCAAAGAACCTTCACTTTTTTCTCCACATGTGATGGTGACGGTGACTGCACTGTAGAGCATATTGAATTACTTCATTCAATTCTTGTAAACCTAAAGAAATCATTATTTTATTAGAAAAGGAATATCTTTTTATTTGTAATCTTTTTTTGTTAGAACTTAGAATTAACCCAGGCATGGACATTAATTAGCTAGGCCTAATAATAACCGGGAAATAGGATTCATTATGTACAGTTTCTCTAGAAAAATGAATGAAAATAGGATTAGGTCAATTTATTTTAAATTGTATATAACAAGAAACTATTAAACAGGTGGAGTCTAATTGATTTTTATTAAAAGAAAGACGAATTTAAAAATAGAGTGATGTATATGAGAGAAATGAGAATTCATTATGACGTTCCAAATTTGCAATGGAAACAAACGGATGATTTGGAATCCGTGAACCCTGCAACTGGGGGAATGACTGGTTCTCCCAACTCTACGTAAACGTCAAAATAGGTCTAACTCTACGTAAAAAATAACATTTAGTTTGTGCGATTTGTTTAAATTTACATTTGCGATGAAAATCGAGTAAACGGTGTTTCTATAGTAATAAAAAAAGGGGTGAAAATTTAATAATCCACTTATTCAATGATGCATGCAAATTTCAATTTTTTGAAAGGAGAATTTCTTGTTTAACAACAATGCACCCATAATTACATCGGTCCTTAATAATTTTGAATCCTCCTAAATATGATTACCTTCTCCAATATAATTCAATAGTTGTTAAACAATCTCTTCAATGTGATAGACACATATAACGTCGAGGAATAGAACATTTTAACACTACTAGCTCTCATCTTTATAAAACTATCTACTTTTCCGAAATGGAGGGATAATGCTAATTAGTGCATTAAGAAATTTTAAAAAACATTAAAAATTGTATCAATGCACTTATTTTAATACTTGTTGTACATTCAATATATTAATTGATAAAATTTTAATTTTAAAAAAAGTTTAATGACAAAAAAATAACTTGAAATAGTAATAAATTTACTTTATTGAAAGGAGTAAATGTTAAAACACATTTTTTTTTCTAGCAATTCATCGAATAAATTTAGTGCAATTATAATAAAAGAAAAAGAAAAATTCATCCACTTTCATTTTTCTAAATTCGTCTTACTTGTGAGTTTAGACGGTGGGGGTCAAACAAGTTTGATTATTCTAACCTTCAACATCAATACGTGACTTTCCTTTATTACACTACGATGAGTAACCTAAGATTATTCACATTTTCTATATCTAACAAATAATTGGTAGACAATAAGCTATGAAACGATGTATGATCCTTTTGTATGAAGAAAACATGATTCAATATTTCTCTCAGCTGTTGAAGGAAGACGTCAAAACAAAAGTGCGACACGTACGTAACAAAGAACACTTGTATTTAATAATTTTGACCTTATACATCATTTGGGCTCCTAATGGCTCGTGAAGGGTCAAAATTGCAACACTATTCCAACATGTTTAAAAAATTTACAACGAAAGTAAAATATTTATGTTCTTCATGGGGTCAACAAGCTGGCTTGCTTTGAACAAGCCTAATTATTTTGACAAAAGCATGATAAAAATAAAATAAAATAGATTGATCCACCAAGAAATAATAGTAAGATATGAGTTGGGACATTTCTGTCAAAAGGGACATCACAAGGACTTGAACCAATTCACCGTCCACCTTCCTTGATGCCCCCTACACTCACATCATCATTATTATTATTTCCCAAAACTTTTTCAAAAGAAGATGGCAATGCTAATAAAAGCATAACGGATAAAAAAAATGTTTTAGCAGTAATTATTAATTAATTACATAAAAATAAATTTCGAAAAAAGTAATATTCCTTAATTCTTTTTTCTGCGTGTAAGTTGCGCTGTCTGCCTCGTCCTTTTTGCTTCCGTTTAACATTAACTCCGAAATCGTAGAGAGAGAAAGAGAGAAAGAGAGAGAGTATTGTGTGTGTTTTCTCTTTCCCAAACGTAATATTATTATTGTTTGAGACAATACAACTCAGAGAGTTCTTGCAAATTTGCAATCTCTCTCTCTCTCTCTCTCTCTAACGTTGCCTTTGGTTCCCTTCTTCGTTCTGCCGACGAATTTGTACCGTTGAATTAGGTTCGATCTCTCAGATCTGCCTTCGCTTTCGTTTCTTTTCATTTTATTATTTGTTTCTGTGCTTTCTTGTGCTTCATGATTTTGTTTTCTTCGGCGGCGAATGTTTATTGAGGATTTTTTTTTTTTATTTTATCTTTAGATTTGGGGTTTGATTTAGCTATGGTGCGGTGCGTCCGTTGGTTTTTTGTTTATTGTTTTGAGTTCGGTGGTGTTTTGGATCTTCTGGATTTTCTGCGGTTTCGATGAGAGACTTTCCTTCAATGTGTTGTTTTGATTGTTTGAACTTTGATAGATACGATTGACCACTGGGTGAAATTTATCAGACGTGATACGGTATAATGGTGATAGATATCTTCCTCTTCTTTTAAACGATTCACAATTTGGATCGTTCTCGCAAAATTCACGTTGGACTTGTTTTCATTCCTTTCTTGAGTTTTTATCTGCAACTTTCTTTTTTTCTATATAATTGTGTTTGGCACTCAATTGTGTTTGAATTTTGAGGTAACAACACCCTTGGGTGCTCCTTGGAATAGATGGTTTGAATTTTCACTTGATACATGTTTGTTGCTCATCCTACTCGTTATAAACCGAACAGACATTGATATTTGCTTACCACTGCTGGCTGTCTTATTTGATAAATATATCAAGTCTCTGGCTAACTGGCTTTTTCTTAAAATTATTGCAAATTGGTGTACGAGTATGACAACAAACAGATAATAATGCTTGAAAATATCCTTTTGGATTTCGAGTGACCAATATGTTGTAAAGAAACTCTGAGTTTTTATTGAACCAGTGCATGACAATTTGAAGCGGGCTTTATTTGTACATTGCAGTTTGGGCTATTGGCTCTGGTTCTTAGCTTGTACTGAAGTACTGAACACCAGTTACAATGAAGAAAGCTATTGGTCAAACTGTTAGAGACCTGTAAGTATAATTGTTTATTATTTATTAAACATGGCTTGATTTTTCATGTATACGATTGCCATTTTGGGTGTTTATTATTACTATTTTAGAGGTCAATTCTATTTCCTTAATGTCTTACTCTTCCCTGTATTCTGCAGTAAAAGAGAAGTAAACAAGAAAGTGCTGAAAGTTCCTGGAATTGAACAGAAGGTAGTTTTTTTTTTTCAATGTGATACTCGCTCATGAAATAGATGTTGACTATGCTTAAATTTATCATGATCTTTTTTTGCAAAATCTAAATTAGATTCATTGTTTTCTCTCCCCTATACCAGGTTCTTGATGCTACCAGCAATGAACCATGGGGTCCTCATGGATCCCTTCTTGCAGATATTGCTCAGGCAACCAGAAACCCGTAAGCTTAGGCTCTTAATAATTGTACGCTTGACATTTATATATTACTGCTTAGAATCTCATTTTTAAGCACGCATGCAGCCATGAGTACCAGATGATAATGGCAGTAATCTGGAAGCGCATTAATGACACTGGCAAGAATTGGCGGCATGTCTACAAGGTTTGGCTCAAACTATTTTATGTTTTGGATGCAAGTGCTAGCAGATGCTGCTAATCTTGTTTATTTGTTGCTATCATAATGTGACATATTATTCCATCAACCCTTCAATGCACCCTTCAATTTATGATATACATCTTAATACTTGTTTGTAACTTCGTACCTATTTTAATGATGATGGGCTCTTTGCACATTAAGAATTCTGTTTTGTTTGTCTTTTTCATTTACTGTTAATCTTACTTTCTTAAATAATAGTTCATTTTATAAGTTTTTATATTAACTGCCCTTTGTTCAACGACAGGCTTTGACGGTGCTAGAGTTCTTGGTGGCTAATGGGTCTGAGCGAGTCATAGATGAGATCAGAGAACATGCATATCAAATATCAGTAATTCTCATTTAGTCATTCCTACTTAAAATTTATGTACTGTTGGATAATTGCTATGCAGGTCCCTATTTGTGTTGAAATGATCTAGAATTTTAATCTAACCTGATAAGATTGTACTCATCATATGAACAGACATTGTCCGATTTTCAATATGTTGATTCCAGCGGAAGAGATCAAGGAAACAATGTCCGGAAGAAATCTCAAAGTCTGGTTGTCCTTGTGAATGATAAAGAAAGAATCACAGAAGTTAGGCAGAAGGCTGCTGCTAACAGGGACAAGTACGTCTCCTCTCATTAATGCTATTGATAATTTGTACTTTGTTATTTTCCAGTTATGATATAAATTTTATATCTACTCTCTTATTTATCAAGCATCAGACATTGCCTTAGTAGATATTTTGTTTTTAATTTCCTGGATTTTTATACTATTGATTTTGTGTCTTGGGTTTCTGGAATATAAATCTAAATTCAGATGTAGAGTCTGTGAAATCTGCTTCTATATATGTATGTAAGTTTGTCAATCTTTAAGAGATATTATCTTTCTTATATGATTCACCAGGTTTCGCAACAATTCAGTTGGTGGAATGTATAGGCCTGGTTCATATTCAAGCAGTGGAGCCCATGGTGACAGGTATGATGATGATCGTTATGGAAGCAGGGAGGAGGATAGAAATGGATACGGTTATGGAAGAGAAAGAGAATGGGGCTATAGAGATGATGACAGATATGGTCGTGATGGAGATAGATATGGTAGAGATTATGAGGAACGTTATGGTCGGGACAGGGACAGTTACAGAGATGATGACTACAGGGGAAGAAGTCGAGGTGATGATTACCCATATGATTCAAGAAGCAGGAGCTCTGATAGAGATCGTAGTTATGATGATGATGGCCAGCACTCATCTCGGTATGAACTTGAATGATATAACACCTTTGATTAATTATTCTTATAGTCAAAAAATATGCAAGAGATAATTGTTTTAACCTTTAAGGAATGGCCCTCACTGTTTACTCTCTCTTTTGGTAATTGATTATGTAAAATACACATGTATCCTGACTCCTGAGAATCTCCTATAAACTGAAGGATTAAAACTTTGATCCTTTTCCATACTTGACCCTTGGTTTAGTTAGTGCTGATCATTTAGGGGCATTAAGCGTGGCCTTTTGTTCAATAATTTGTTGTAGAAGTATGTTTATTTCATTAGGGGCATTAAGCATGGCCCTTTGTTCAATAGTTTGTTCAATAAGTATGTTTAGTTCTTAACATGATCTTCTTGTTGTCATCTTTATTTTCACATTATTGCTTCGAGTTGATGACATATAGGTTGTTCATTAGTGACTCCTAGCTTTCATTTTGAGAGAAATAGCTTTCATTTGTTGCTATTTTAGTTCTTAACATGACCTTCTTGTTGTCATCTTTATTTTCACATTATTGCTTCGAGTTGATGACATATAGGTTGTTCATTAGTGACTCCTAGCTTTCATTTTGAGAGAAATAGCTTTCATTTGTTGCTATTTAATTTTCAGAATAGGAGTATTACTTTAATATATCATCATTTTGCTACTCAAATGCTAGACATAGAGTCATGGAGAGAGACAGAGAAGGAAATTGTGAACTAAGCTTTTATTGGGGCTCTGATACTGATTCAAATGATGCAAGTAATATGGTTTAATATCTTTAGTAGCAATAATGAAGTTTGCTTGAAGATGCAAGCCCTTTTTTCTTAAATTTTCTTCCCAATATTTTGAGAGCGTGGGGATTAATGTGATTTTATTGCTCTCTGATGAGAATTATTTGTGCTTCTAACTTGATCCTTTTATGTAATGATCTCTCAGAGGAAGCAATGCTAAAGCTGAAGACCAATCTCTGGAAGCAAGGTATATTTCATCATAGAAATGCACTCTTTCTCTCCCATGCATGCATATTGCTGCTAGGTGTTTTTAAGGTTGATAATATACAATACAAATGGGCAGGCTTGAGCGGAAACTTTCTGAGCAAAATGCGGGTGCTCCTCCGAGCTATGAAGAAGCTGTTGGTGAATCTCGCAGCCCTGTACACAGTGATAGGTATGAACTTTTATACCAGTGACAACTGACAACATTTATTCACAACAGAATCTCTTGCTAATATTATTTCATTTGCAGGGATGTGGAGACTTCTGCAGCATCTGCTCCAAGAGGCTCATCTCCTCATGCAAATGATAATCCTAGTCAAATTTCTTCTCCTACAGAATCTTCTCCTGTAAACAGTGATCCAAGCGAGCCAACTACTGCTGCCAGCACTGCTGCAGCTGGAACCCAGGAAACTGAGGCCACTGATGATTTTTTTGACCCACGTGGTCCTGCATCAGGTGCTAATTTATAGTATTATATTATGTTGCCCACTTGTTCTTCATTGATCAGTATGTTTGTGACTGATCCTCCTTGTGGTACTAAACACCATGAGTTTGACACACTTAGAAAATTGTTTGACAATTTGAAAATTTGTGACAATTTCTGCTGCCCACATGTGCTGGTAACAATTAGAGTGAAATAGGTTATGGTAATTTTTCAGTGCTGCACGGACTCTGGAGTGGTATGTACACCCTGCGACATGCATAAATTTGAAAGACTTGAAACTGAATCCTAAATCCATTAATAAGAATTTCCCTACATTCTTTAGTGTTAAAAGTTGGTCGTTTGCTACTTTAGCTCTTAATTACAATTCTTTTCATTTATATGTATTTTGAGTGGTATATGACTGTGGTCAAGACAAACACTCCAGTCATACTTCTAAAATCAATGGCACAACTCTGATTGACATTTGATGAATTACCATTGGAAGTCATTTGGGAGTTTAGATTTAGTGCTTGTTTGGATTAGTTTAATTTAGAGAAATAACCATTTTTCTTGCCAGCTTCTCAAGGGAGATTTTAGAAAAATAATTTCTTCATCAAAATTATGCTGAAATAAATATGACATTAATGGTCTTGAAGATCTTGTATTAATGACTTAATTATACCACTTTCTTTGTAAATAACATTTACTATGCCCTGTACTCATGATATGTTTATATTTATTCCCGCTGCCCCAGCAACCCACACTACCCCAGCAACCCACTCTGCTCCAGCCACCTCTCAGAATATTGAAATGGACTTGCTTGGTTCCCTCTCGGACTCATTCTCTTCAGATGCATTGTCTCTTGTACCTGCATCAGCAACTGCAGCCCCTGATGCAAATGCTGGTTCAACAGCTTCCTTTGCAGCACTGTCATCTGGGTCCGATAATTTCAATCAGGTAGGCATTTGTTTGATTGCTTCTACTTTTTAGTTAAATAAAAGTATTTGCCCTTTCTTTTGTATGTTTTGAACATAGTACTGAAAGAATGGATTTGTATTTGGAATTCTTATAATTGCCACCTTTATGCCTTATCTCTGTTCCTTTTGATTTAGCATGTGTGAATGTGTTAGAACCGTGGCTGAGGAACATATGATTGATGTCAATAAGAGACCTAAAGTGTGGAAGGTTTATTTTGGGAGGAAGGGTAGAAAAGAGTCAGCTGTTTATTAGTTTGTTAATATTGCTAACAGATTCTATAAATAGGTAGTTAGTTTCTTGATTGAGGCATGATTGTTTCTGTTGGTTGTTTTGGGGAGAATTTCATTCTCTGTTCAGGAGCTGTTACCTCTGAGGGATTCTTTTGTAGTCCTAATTCTTTCTAGTGATCAATAAAATCATCATTTTTTTTCAATCCTTACCTTGATTTTATATTTGAACCCTAACAGACTCTGACTAGTTGGTGGAAGAGTTTTTGTCAAGAAACGTACCATATTATTTCATATTAATCCTGTTTGTGGACTAAAATGACAGTAGAATTTTGAGAATTTATTTTATATTTCTAGAAAGGGCATTATCTATTTCAGCACTGAGCTTTGAATAATCATTTAGTTTTAGATACATCTGCAAATTACTGTTTAAAAATTTCATTTATGGCAGTCATTTGAAGATCCATTTGGTGACTCCCCATTCAAGGCTATTTCTTCCACTGAAACTGCTCCATCTCAACCCCAGACATATCAGAGTATTGAACCATCCCAACCAAACGGTCTTAGTGCAGAAACCATCTCTAGCTTTGGGTTTGGGGACTCATATTCTGTTGTACCATACTCTGCACCCGTTGCCGGTGAAACTCAACCTTTCTCTACAAACTCTCAGTTTTTGTCTCAAGATTTGTCATCTTCACAGCAGGAAACCGATATCCTTGCAGACATTCTTCCTCTTGCACCACTACCTGATATGACTTCACAGCAGAACATTTCAGCTCCAGCTTTTGCCCAGCCTTCACCTTCCTTTACTGCTTCATCTGGTCAAATGGCATCACAACCATTTTCTGAACAAACAAACCAACTTACCCAGCAAGGTTTCTCAGCCACTACCAGTCAACCTGCACAAACCTTTCCAGTTACAGGTCAACTTCCCCAACAACCCTTTTCAACTCCTAATGGCCAACCGGGACTAGTACAATCATCTTTTTCAGCTCCCGTTAGTCAATATGCACAACCACCCTTTTCATCTCATACCGGTCAACCTGGCTTACATGCATTTTCATCGTCAACTGGCCAACCCGTGCAACCACCTTTTCAAGGTGGTCATCCTGCACCATCGAGTGGTATATATGGTGGATTGCACTCCCACGATGGATCTCTTACTTTAGGAGCTCCAAACATGTCTCCTCAATCTCAAAATGGATATAATGGGTCTATGAACAGTGGGAATTTCCTGCCACAAGGATCTACAGCAGCTTTTCCCTCACACATGGGTCCTCAAGCTCCAACAGGACAGCTGTCACAGAACACAAACTTTTCTTATCATGGAGGATCTACTGCTCACACTACTACACATATGTCTCCTCATTCCCCAACCAATCAAGCATCACAATTTAACAGTCAGAGCTTCATTGGACAAGGGAATGCAGCCCCCTTTAGCTCACCAATTACCAATCAGTCACTTGCTCCTAATACTTCACAGCATGCTATTTCAATGGGATCCAATTCCTTAGTTTCTCAACCATCCAAGGACAAGGACAAGGACAAGTTTGAGACAAAATCAACAGTGTGGGCAGATACACTAAGCAGGGGACTGGTTAATTTGAATATTTCTGGACGTGAGTGCTTAGAGCTCTGCAAACCATGCTGTTTGTGAATTTTAGTTTCTTTCTGCAGCATGCTTCAGTTAGAATGTTGATCTTATCTAGACAAATTATTAACTTTTGTTTTTTGCATGCAGCTAAAACAAATCCATTAGCTGACATTGGGATTGACTTCGAAGCCATTAATAGGAAGGAAAAGAGAATGGAGAAGCCCACTACCACAACTGTAACATCAACTATAACTATGGGTAAAGCTATGGGATCAGGTTCGGGTATGGGCCGGGCTGGTGCTGGTGCTCTCAGACCTCCTGCAAACCCAATGATGGGTTCAGGCATGGGCATGGGCATGGGTAATGGTTCTGGTGTTGGTATGGGTATGGGAGGCTATGGTGGTTCAATGGGTATGGGGATGGGGGGGATGGGTATGGGACAAGGGTTCCAGATGCAACCCCAAACTGGAATGCCTCCACCTGGGTCCAACATGCCAGGTAGTTATAACCCCATGATGGGTCCAGGTAGTTACGCTCAACAGCCATATGGTGGATACCGATGAGATTGAACACTATGCCTAGATAGATAGCAAGGTGAAATATTATTGTTTTGCTACAAGTTGAGAAAAGAAAGCCAATATCAGTGCTACTAGTAGTCTACTTTGTGACATTTGAATTTATAGCGGTGTATCATCGAAGTTGCAATTTTCTGTAAAGTGACCCAGTGTGATGTATGTTTATTCTTGTTATAAATATGCTGTTACCATTCATTCTTTTTTGGGTCACCCTCTGTAGGTGCTTTGAGCATCAATGTTGTGTACCAGTGACTGGATAGAATAACCTTGCTTGGGTTATTACATTCTATGCTTGTTCCTCATTTTTTGAACACCAACAGGTGGTTTGATATTAATATATTCTTTTTTCCGTTGTACTTTTTCCATTTGCCTCAAATCTAAGGATTGCAATTCAATGATTTATCCTTTTAAGTTGTTAATTTCTTGCTGAAAATTCGTGCCTTTGTAAGACAGGTCGGTCCATAGTTTTTATGTTGGCATGCTGACCACACTCATGCAACCTTGGGATAAACAATTCTGTTAGCTCAATTCTGAATATCGTTTCATATTTTGGAGTGTTGCGAGGTAATCATGGAATGGAATCCATTTCACTCCTTGTGAGTGTCCATTACTACTATCCAAGCTTGCTAGCGACTTCAAAACCTTTTCTTTTTCCTTTTTTTATTATCATTTTTAGCTAGATGGAGCCATCTACACCTAAAAGGAGTCTCCTTTTGATAATTTTATGGCTAGTGTTACACGTTTAACAAATGATACTGAAAGAAGATCGAGTGCGGCTAAAAGAGTACATTATTAAGTCACGTAAAATAAGAAGCGGGGTTTAATGCATGCTTTTGCTTTTGGGGTTGTGCACTGTCGTTTAAAGTTATCTGATTCGCGTTGCTTTTAAGTGAATGGTGTTGACACCGTGCTTTTCGTGTTGGATACTTACTCGATAGTTTGGTGGTTTACATACCATGCTTTTGATGTTGGACGCCGAGTTCCTTGGGGACGAATCCCGTACCCTGCTTTAATTTTGTTAAAATAAACATTTACAATTCACTCTTTACAAATTAATTCATATATTTTGAAAATATACATTTTATGTTTTCATATAAAATAATTATAACTGTTAATATTATATTAAATATATATAATAGATAGTGAAAGGTAATCTATTTATAAAGACAAATATTCTTTAATTTTTAAAATATTTAAACAATAATAACCATTGATTTAATAAAAATATAAGAATCCTTTTAAATTTATAGACACTGTAAAAATATTTTTAATTTATTTATATATATTTTGTTACATTCTAATTCTTACCTTTATAAGACCAGCAGTAAAATATTATCATAACTTAATAGCATTAAAATAATGAACGATAACTTTTATTAACATCTTTAAATCAACAAAAATTAAACCTTAATAGAACACTTTATATATATATATATATATAACAAAATTAATTTATAAATAAACGTTACATTAACTATAAAAATTAAATATATATTTCGGCTTTGTTGTTCCTTGAAAACAATTAAGGTGGAAGCAGTCGGTCTAGTTGTGAATAATGACCATGGAGGGGTATAGAAAGAATGCGCTTCGAAAAAATTTAGACGCCGTTTTGCATGAAAATCCACTCTATTTCCTTTATCTTAATTTCTTATTTTATTTCAAAGAAAAGTACAGTTGTCCAGAACAGGTCCGTTGAACTTGAGAAACTCGAGCAATGTAGAATCACTCCAGAAATACTTGAATCCTGTCGCCCATCCTGTCATTAAAATCTAACAACAGTTTTCCCCCAACTTCTTCTGCTGCATCGTCCAATAGTTCTTTGAGGTTTACACCACCCAAAGCTGTAGAATTATGACAAAATTAACCACCAGAAATAGTGAAAAAGAACCTTTTGACTTGAGACACAATTTTGGAATAGACATCTACTAGTACACTATAAAAAAATTTCTAAATAGAGTACCAGGTACTATGTTTGTGATTCCGTCGAGAAATCCAGCCTGTAAATAGCAAAGTATATGTATTATGAGCAAAGGAAACAGGAAATCTTACCTTACTTGGAGCAACATTCAACTGACTATACACATAATTTTAAAATGAATAGCTGAATAATGACCATGGAGGGGTATAGAAAGTATGCATAACCACAACATGGGGAGAAAGCCTCCGCAGAATGCAGTACAAAACAAACATGTTGCAGACAGGCATTCATACACAAAATACCGGGTTCTATATTCCTTTATTTTTATTTTTTTTCCTTTTCTTTTCAAAAACAGGAGAAAGGCAAGCAATAGGTGGTGGAAGAAAGGTGGTTAATTCAGGATACTGGCACATCTGATTATACTACTCACACCACTATTAGGATTCCAAATGGATCAATCCAATTATTAATATCAGTGCAACATATCCGATAGTTCTGCTGCCCGAGACTAATTGTTCAATTAAAACTACAGGAGTTCATGAAGTCAGACTTAAGGAAGCAGAATACAGTGAGATCAACGCATGCCACATTGCATGCATAAGGGACAAACCAAAAAGGTAAAATAATAAAAGTACACATGAATTTTTGATAAATGTAAGCAATTGGGCTAGAATAAAAAGTTGGGAACTCCAGAGACAAATTTAAGCTGCTGAAACTCTTGATAAATCATGATGTTGTAAATGGAAATCAGCAGGCTGCATCCTTAACTAGTTCTGATCAGTTAATATGAATAAATAATCTTTTTCATTTTCTTTTAGAATATCTGGGGAGTGTAGTATGATCACTTACAGGAATCCTGAGATCAAGTTTCTCAAATCCATCTCTTCCAGTTATTTTTACTCTCAAAGTCCGGGACCAGATACCAGAAAACGGGTTCCTTGAACTATCTGCACCATATTTATTGTACATATCATCAGGTGTTATAACTTCAACAATAGGATCTTTGAGACTTTGGCTTGTCTGCTCTGTATCAACTTGATCTCTGCGTTGTATACTGTACAGGCTACTGCTCTCTGACAAATAACTAATTGCTATGAGAATGCAAGAATGGAATGCACAATATATATTTACAATGTGAATATCAGCATGCAGTAGCGGATCCAGAAACTGTGTAAGGGAGGGGCCAGAAAATAAACAAACTTTACCATATATATTTATCCTAAATAGCAAACTTCTCATGCATTGCATGAATATTTTTAAATTTAGGTAAAATTTAGAAATAGAAGATATAACTGTTGTTTAGTAATGATGAAATCAAGGGTCTTAAAAAAATAAGTACAATAAAAGATATTCTCATTGTTAAGAATGAGGATAGTATTTTAATAATATAAGAATGGAAATAATTTACGTGAATCAACCATTAATTTGATATAGTACATCACAATTCAAAGAAGTCATGGAGAATGATGAGAGAGTAGGTTAAGAAAAAAAATATTCTTGAGAATGAGTACTCAAATTTAATATATATAGGAGTCAAATAATAAATTAAGGTTAAGGAGACTCATAATAAAAAATTAATCCTGTATATGAATATTTAAAAAATTATTGGGTGGGGGGTACCTTTGTCCTCCCCACCCCTAAAATTCCTCTGGGTCAGCACTACCTTTACTTCTGTCTTTGATTCTTGCCTAGAGCTGAAACAAAGAAATTCACGGATGAAAAGAAAGCTGTCTAATTTTCTCATGACTATCTATGATTAATTGGTTAATTGGATGGCTTTTGTTTATTTGGTAATGAAGTTCAAAAGATTTTCTCAACATGAAGATACGAATCCATAAGGTGATTCAATTCATCATCAAGTGCCCCCTCAACCCCCTAAAAAAAAAGCCCAACACATGATAATGGAATTTAAGTTCCAAATTCAACCATTAAGCTATAATTTGGTAGAAGTGATAATGAATTCATTAACTAACAAGAATATAAAGTAGGCGTACATTCCCTATGACTTTGAGAAGCCTACTGCCATATTATACCACAATGTCCCTTTATAGAAGGGTCATTATTTACTTATTTAAGATTTGTTTGTCCTACCTCCCTTTGACAGCTGCTGATTGGTACTTGTGGCGTAACGCTTCTCTTCTTCATAATAAGCATTGAAACCTAAGATATCCTTAATTTCTTCAAAAGTTGGCATGCTTCCTGGAGGAGGAATACGGCCTCCTTTAATGGCAGTGAGAGAATCCTACAAATACAATCATAGACTTTATTTATCTGTACAGAATAAAATCTAAATGCTACTTCCAGTGAAATATCACAAAAGGTGAAACAGGTTTTAAGAATAATGAGTTTCAAGTTCAACACTATGGCTAGTTATAACGGAGTTAAAAGGCCAATACCAATGTCATAAATTTGCAAAAACATGAGTTTCCAACCATCCTCCCATAATCATGTTCCATGGCTGTACGTTCCTTTTTTATTCACCCTAAGGAGAGGGGCAAACTACCCACCATGTGTGAAATATGAGAAATTATTCTTTTAGCACAGTTTCATGCATAGTTGAGCATAAATGTAGACATTTACTAGCTACGTGTCATGGATGCATATAATACTAATCAATATGAAAGGAGGAAAAGGGAAGAGGCATCACCTGCATTGCCCGTATAGAAACCCCGATCAAGGAAAGTGGATACGCAACGATTTTGAAACCAATCTCTTCAAGTTCAAGAGGATTGAGTATAGGTGTTTTGCCACCTCCTTCAAGCATATTGGCCTACAAAATACAAGAGTACATACACCATTAGCCATATCTGTAATGGATTGGGAGCACAGAATCAAAACTATATACCATTTTGGGAATGAGAGGAGAAACTTGACAAAAGGCCCTCATTTCTTCTTTGGAAGCGAGTGCATCAATGAAAAGAACATCAGCTCCAGCATCGGCAAAGGCCCTTGACCTAGAAAGTGCTTCCTCTAACGACACAGCTTGCCGAGAATCGGTGCGCGCCACAATCACAATGTCAGAGCCACTCTCTCTTCTAGCATCCACCGCCGCCTTAATCTTCATCACCGCCTCTTCTCTCGACACCACCTTCCTCCCGCGCGTGTGCCCACACGCTTTCGGCGAAATCTACCAATAATAATGCAATTAACAATCCAATCTAACAAAAACTAACTAACTAACCAACCAACCAACCTGATCTTCAAGAATGATTCCGGCGAAGCCAGCAGCGATATATCCCTTAAGGGTTCTCTTGACGTTCATGGCATTGCCATAACCGTTGTCGGCGTCGCCAATGACGGGAATTGAGACGGCGTGGGTGATGAGTTGACCTTGGTTGACCATTTCGCCGTAAGACAAGAAGCCAGTGTCGGGGAGAGCCAGTGTGGCAGCAGAAATTGAGAAGCCACTGGTGAAGCAGAATTCGAAACCCGCGTTTTCAACGAGCTTAGCGCTGAGAGCGTCGAAGCAAGCAGGGCCTTGGTGGATCCCTGGGGACTCCAGGATTCGCCGAAGGTCTTTGGCTGAAGAAGAAGAAGAAGTAGTAGAAGAAGCGGAGCATGCTACTGCAACTGATTTGGAAGATGTCGTTCTTGCAATGAACAGCGAGAAGGAACGTGATTGCCAGTGGAATCGATGCCCGCCATGATGAGGAACCACGTTTACACTGCTAAGTGCTGAAACCTTCATTGCTACTCCCACTCTTCTAATCTAATCTTATTTCTCCCTCCTTTATCTCTTCCTTCTTTCTATAACAACTACTTTATGTTCAAATCAATTCATTATTTGCTTCAATTTTTTAAACCATTTTCCCAATACCAAGGACCCACGAGGTTCTCTTTTGATACCACAACGGAAACTCGCACACGTTTTTGCAAAAAGCTTCAGCTCTTATTGAATTATTTAGATGATTCACATTTGTTTAATATTTTGGACATCATTTTATTTTATACTCATTTTTACAGATTTTTTAATATATTTCAAACACATATTTACCACTTTTTTTGGCTCATTGCTAACTAAAAATTAACAATTTGATTCAATTCTTTCGTATAAAAGTAACAGGCAATCATATTAATAAAGAATATTGTAAATTTACAATAGCAATTTAAAATACTTTATAATTCTCTCTTCTTCTTTTTATTCAAATTAACTTCACAGTTCACACAAGTAATGATTTGAAACTTAAAATAAAAAGAACTTAATTGCAAATAAAGATAAAGCCATATGTCATGAGGAAAAATAAAAAACAAATTGATTTAAATTTTTTTTTCCTTGAATTTTTAATATCTAAAAGTAACATTAAATCTCAACCGATTTAGATTGAGACAAGTGAATCTACTTAGGAGGCAAAGCTCTTCTAACACCTCTTTGTAAACGTTTTTTGCCAATATTATCTTTGTATGAAAATGTATTGGTTCAATATCTTTCACATGATCTCTATAGATATTAGTGTAAGAGCGAGATTATTAACAGTCATATTATCCATTATTTTATTAGTAATATTACATCGTATACGATGAAGGATAACCCTTTCACTAATAAAGTAAAAAAGAACTTTAGACAAAGTCAATTATTTATGGACAAGTTCTTATGACATCCTTTAATACATGCAGTCCACTCCACTTAGAGCGAAAAATCTTGGTTGGGTTTCTGTTATTTTAGATTATTCTCTCATCAATTTCTTTATTCTAAAGATTGAGTACTAATTTCCAGATAATAAAAAGCTGAGAATCTGAGATCCATAATGGGATCTTTGATTTGTCTGATTGGCACCATCAAGATCACAAGGCTTCTGCTGCATGAACGGAAAGCAAAATATGCATTTACAATATGAATATAAATCAGCATGAGATACTTACTTCTGTCTTTGATTTTTCCCTAGAATCAGATGGCTTTTATTTTGATAAAACAGTGAGCAGATAGAATATTCGGGGCTGAACATAACCCAGAAACATGGTGAATAAAAGCATAGACTAATCGCACAAGACTCTGAAAACCATATGACAACACTAGAATGCCCTTTGTAAAAGGGTGTAACTTGTATGAGTTTGTCACTCCAACCTCTCTTTTAAAGCTGCTGATTGGTGTTTATAGCATAGTGCGCCTCTTCTTCATAATAATCGTTGAAGCCTACAATATCCTTAATTTGCTCAAAAGATGGCATGATATTCGGAGGAGGAACTCCGCCCCCTTTAATGGCAGTGAGTGCATCCTACAAATTAAGCCATAGATATTATTCATATGAAAATAGTGACTCAGCAGAATGAGATTAATTAAGAAGGGACTTCACCCGCATAGCTTTGATGCAAACCCCAATCAAGGAAAGTGGATAAACAGCAAGTTTATAACCAACATCTTCAAGTTGCTGAGGATTAAGTATTGGCGTTTTGCCTCCTCCTTCCAGCATATTGGCCTGAAAAAACCCTCAGTTACAATCATTCAAGAATGATTGAAGTGAAATACAATAATCAAACCACATACCAATTTAGGAACATGTGGAGAAACTTGACAAAGGGCTTTCATCTCTTCCACTGAAAGGAGGGCATCTATGAAGAGAACATCAGCGCCTGCATCTGCAAACGCCTTGCACCTCACCAACGCTTCCTCCAACGACACAGCATGCCGAGCATCCGTACGCGCCACAATCACAATGTCGGAGCCACTCTCTGTTCTCGCGTCTACCGCCGCCCGTATCTTCGTAACCGCCTCTTCTCGGGACACCACTTTCCTCCCGCGCGTGTGTCCACACGCTTTCGGCGCCACCTAGCATCGGCAGTCCAATTGAATGAGTAGTGAAAAAAGAAGAAAGGGAACCTAACTAACAAACAAACCTGATCTTCGAGAATGATTCCAGCGAAGCCAGCAGCGATGAAACCCTTGACGGTTCGCTTGACGTTCATGGCATTGCCGTAACCGTTGTCGGCGTCGCCAATGACGGGGATGGAGACGGCCTGAGTGATGACACGGCCATGATCGAGGATTTCGCCGTAAGAGATGAAGCCGGTGTCTGGGAGAGCCAGCTTGGAAGCTGAAATGGAGAAGCCGCTGGTGATGCAGTAGGAAAAGCCAGCCGATTGAATGAGTTTGGCGCTGAGAGCGTCGAAGCAAGCGGGGCCTTGGTGAACCCCCGGCGACTCCATGATTCGACGAAGCACCTTCGCCGGTTCCTCTCTCACACTCGCCATCTACAAGATTCGATTGCAACTCAATGGAGGAGAACCTGATTTTCAGTCTCTGTCTCTCTCCCTTTGTTTATCTCATTCATTTATAACTGTTAAAGTGAAAGACTCGAGACGTCAACGCTCGACGCTGATAGGAGGATAGTCTTTGCAAAATATATATTTTTATTATTTAAATAAACTTCTTAATAAATGTATATACACAAATTAAATTAATTTCCTTTTATAAATTAAAATTAACTTAATGTTATTCTATTTTTCTATGTATAAAAAAACTCATTTAACTTTGAATTTTATTTTTAAAATTTACGGTGGATTAATTAATTGTAATTTATAAAAATATTATGTTGATTTTAACTTTTTTTGTTATCTTATAAATACTTATTTATCAGTTCACGAGACATGATAATAAAATTAGGATATTTGAGAATTAATTTAAATTCTTTTAAATTATTAAATTGATTAAAAAATAAATTTCATATAAATTATTATTTGACAAAAACACATTTTTATTCAATTTGTTTTGATTTTCATTATCATGTTCAAAATTAAATTAAATTACATTGGACTTTGAATTTATATTATTTTTTAATATATTTTCAAAGACACCTCAATCCACGTGGTGTTCTTTGTTAATAAAGTATCTCAAGTACCGTTTTAAATTTATCTAGGAGGGGGGGGGGGTTAGGAGGAGAGGATATTATTCATATTAGATTCTTTTTCTCATCTATTTCTTTATGTAAATTATAATATCAGATCATTGGCACCATACTGACTAAAATATTGACAATTAATTTCCAAAATCAGAAAGAATTTCTCAAAATTCTGTCTAAAGAAAATACTGATCGTTCTCTAAACGATAAGACAGGGGAGCAACAGCAGCTATAATAAATTGTTTGCTTCTTGGATTGCTGTCTTGAAGGAGCAGCTAATACAAAATAAAATTAGAATAATCTCCTTTGTTGAAGGAGACTCTTCCTCACGTTGTTCCCTGTACAAATCTGTAGATCTATACTTTCTTAAGCTACCCAAGTTTTTGAGCTTCCAGCCACAGTTCCTTTGCTGTGATTTGCTGAATTGGCTTCCTCATCCTGTTTGCTTGGGCGAAGATCTTCAGCAGCATTAGGAGGGCGCTGATCCTCATCTTTGTCACCTCTGCAATAAATTGTAACCCCAAAGGCAAAATCCTTTATATATTAGAGACATTAAAGGATATTCTACACACGAAAACTAGATTTCGAACTACTGCTTCTGATAAGCACAAGCTTAAACCTACTACAACTGACTATTTGCGAATTGTGAGGAAACCTAAATAATATAGAATTAGGGGCCATTGAAATTATCCTTTACCTTGAGCCAATGGTACATTAGAATAGATCCTTTTATAAACTAATAGACTCAATATATCAAGAAAGCAAAATAGAAGTTCATCATGCAGGAAATCCCACCACAAACGGATAAGTAATAGATCTCGTACAGAAAATAGCTGAGCTATATGATCAGAAGAGTCGCATAGGGCACCCTGCTGCTCAACATAATTTGACAATGGTGCCAAGCCATGCCTACGCTTTTGGTTTAAATGCATAGTTAATGATCATTGACATTCAATGCAGAGGTTAACCCATGAAATAGCATGCTAAAATTAGCTGAATAAGTTTTGAAATCAATCAATTTTAGAAAAACCTTGAAATGAAGTCCTAACAGAAACAACAGTTTCATGAGAACTGAGAAGAAAATTAAATAATACGGACCCAGAGTAGATAACGAGCCCAACAGCAACAGCACCAAAGGCCACAAAGTACATCCAATCAACCTGGAAAGCATAATTAGCCCAAGAAATGTTAGCACACCGAAGATGTGGCTCACATCTAGTAGGAATTAGTGGGTGAGGAAGAAAACCGTAAGATTACTGTCAGACCTTCTCATGGTAAGCAAAGATGCGAATTAAGACAGCCCACATGTCAGAGGTCAACAGTGACAGATTTAGCATGGTAGAACCATTGATCTGTGACAAACGAACAGAGCATAATTTAAAATGATACTTGTCAGTAAAATCTGGATATCATATCAAACGTCTATTTTTGCCACGCTAAATTATACCAAGGCTAAAAAACACCACCTGCCTCTTTAACCAGGTAACTGAAGCAAGCAAGATGCCATTGCTAGTTGGACAATAATAGACTATAAGTAAAAGTTCTTCCATACTAAGAATATCAAGAAATTCGATGAGTGATAATTTTTTCACATTGCTTCATCATATTAGATATTTCTGGTCCAGAAATAAAGATCAGCATAAAAAATTACCAAACACTGAGAGAGAGAGATAAATATCATAACCAAAGAACTGCATTCATTCCATCATTTTATGATCCCCAGTCATAATAGCAAATATGATTTCGAAAAGAAAAATTGCTGAAAACTTGATATAATTTGAATCCACACCTTAAGCAGAACAGGGACTAAAGAGTAAAACATAAACATGGCCACTGCAAATCCAACAAAAGGAAGCGCCTGAAACCAACATTGAAAGAAATGAACATAGATAATAATGCTTACAGACACTGACTCGCATATTGTGACATGACACACAATTGATGTAAATATTAAGACAAATAATAAGAGGATGTGGCAAAATATAAAAACCAAAAACAAAGAAATATCAATAACCATTAAGCGCACAGATCAGCAACCAGTTGAGAGACGGGGTGGTAGATATTAGGCAGCTAGTAAATATATATATTTGTAAGAAATGGAAAGATAAAATCCCAAACAGAAGATACAGTCGTCCAACTTTATTGAATTCACGCCTTTCTGTAAGTAATCACAATATCTTGAGTTCCAAGACTGATAAAAATGAAATCATTCCACACATGCAACAACATCAACAATAAAACTCAAGCTTTTTCTCACTAGGTGAGATTGGCTAAATCATTTCACACATGCATCTACAGACAATTCAAATATTTTATGGAAGAGAAAAATAACAGGTATGGTGACGACTGAATCCACTAAACTCAGCTTGGCTATAACATCTAATGTTCACCATCCTTTCTCATACAATTACCATCAATTTGTTCTTTCTTGAGGGACAAAGAGGAAGGCAACACGAGTAACTATTCATCTTAAATCTATTGAAAAAATGTCAACTGAAGGTATATGTTTGAAAGAAACTTATAGCCATGCATTGCAGGCATTAAGTTAAAGTGGAATCTGGTCAATTACTCAATTATAGTGGAAATGATAGAGCTTACCGCCTCTGCTGACCAATGAATAGATTTAAGTTCATTGCGCTCAAGTATACTTCTGTAATAATCATCAAGGCTACAACAGGAAGAGAAAACTGAGGATGCAATAATTCAAGTCAATGACCATATCTCGTTTTATTTTTCCTTGATTAAATCAATGCATATTAGGCCTGAGCTCATAAAATAATCAGTTCCAAGGATACATTTGAATAGCACTAATAACGCCACCAAAGAAACCTAACATTCCCATGAGCTCAACTCTATCAGCATTTTTCACAAGAAATTCCTGCCATAAAAAAAAAATAATAAAAATGACACAAGGGATATTCCATATAATGAAACACTAATAAGAGCAGTCAAGTGTGCATGTAAGATTTGACCACATCTCAAGAAATTAAGTGCCACGTTACATGACAAGACAGCTCCCATAACACTGCCAATAAGTTAAAGCTACATGTGAGTGACAGATTAAAACACATTGGATATTAGCAATAACACATATTTTAAAATCATATACAGACAAAAAAAATTGTGTTTCAAGTCATGCTAAAACAGTCTATACAAGGAGTTTCTCAGTTTCTGGAAGCAGCAAAGCATAAAGTACAAAACTGAAAAAAGAAAACGAGGTGGGAGAGATAAGAGATGGGAGGATCAAAAACAGGAATCAGAGTCCAGATTCATTATGTAAGAGTGAAAAAATTTGAGATTCAGTGGAAGGAAAACAGTGAAACACCTAACAAAAATTTACATTTAGGACAGAAACCGCAACCTTTGTATAGTAATCAATATTTTCTACAGTAATTAGCGAGTATGCATTTGTTGTGTTGTGCCACTGTCGATTGCAACTTTGCAAGAGTGTTGGAACATGCATTAAAGCAGAAATGTAATTAGCTTACCTCGCTAACATTACTGATTGCATACAAGGTAGCACCAGCAATAACAAGAACGTCTCCTTTACGGGGATTGCTTCCACCTATGACGGGTGAATATGACATCAGACAACGACCATAAATGGAATGATATATGCTACCGATGATAATTAAAGATAGGATCAAAATTACTACTTGCATGATTTCCAGAAATAAAGATATGAAGCACTTGCACGCACACTTTTTCAATGTGCTTGAGTGGGTTTATATATGTGTTAAGTACAAATAAAAGATAACAATGCCAGTATGCATTATAAAAAAAGAACTGCCTACCTGCACGGTCACCTGCATGAACGTCTGAAAACACAACCAGGACAAGGCCGGCAATGCAAACAACTACACCAGTTACCTTTTTGAATCGATACTTTGTTTTCAAGAAAAGCCATGTCAGAAGCATGACTGATGGAATTGACCAGCAGTCAAGCAGCATCACACTTGTAAGTGAGGTGTATTGGTATGCCTTCACAACTGTTCATCAGATGAGAATTAGTTTAGCTGTCATTGCAAGTAAGATCATCCAAGTCAATACATGACTTGCTTCATTTGAATACATTGGAAGAGTCCAATAAATATGCAAGAAAGGAAAATACAATTTAGTGACTTAGATATGAATATTTAAATTTGGGGCATATAGGTTGGTCATTATATTTTAATTCTGTTCTGCCAGCCGGTTGTTTGAGCACACTGCTTATAAGTGTATCAATTCAACCAATGTTTTCTACGTATAACAGTCATTAGGTCTCCACCATTATGAAACACTTACCTAGAAAATTTGCTTCTACATCAACCAATCCAAGAAGTATGTAATAGTACCATTTTGCCTGTGTTAGAATCATATAAAGTTAGTGAAGTTGTCACTAAATGTTAAACATTGAAAGGAAAAACAGAGTAAAATTAGCAGAACACTTGATCTTTCTGAAAGGCAGCACTCTCACACTCTCTTCTGCTCAAAAACCAACAAGTCATTATAAAATAAAAGACCATGTTTTTGTAGTTTGCTACCCACCATCCCAAAAAATATTGTGAAAATTTGCAGATTGCTGGAATAATTTGGCATCTTATGGCAGGCATCTAACGAATCATTCTTTGGCACCAAAATTTTTAGTATCAGTATCGGAGTAACAGAAAGATAGGGATATTTAGACAAACACTCCACCAATCCCAATTGATATCCATTCATTGAATGAACAGCACCAGTTGACAATGGCAGAAGAATCATAACAAGTTTAAACTTGTGCTTGGATGAAGTCATCTAAATTACTAGATTATATGTATTTAGATGGTAAAAAAAAGGTGTTTATAGAATACTACAAAATGTTAAGTGCATAAATTTTATATCAAATGGAAGGAATTTCAAGTAACATGTTTAAAAATCCTTTTGTTATGCTTAACTTTTTATAATTATCATTCATAATTTCTCACCTATTTGATTCTCACTTAAATCATTCCTTATTATTGATTTCATATTCTCCAAAAAAATTTAAAAAATACAGGGAGACCATGCATAAACTGTTGAAATATGTTCTTGCCATCAATCTCTTTCAATTCAATAATGGAATTAATCTTAGAAAAGAAAAGCAATATTTCATCCTATTGACAATATGTAGAGCACAAAATTGGGAAGCAACAATATAGTATATAACCTTGAGTGCTTTCCTTCGGTATATGAGAATACTTCCATAGACAACCGCCAATAACACATAGTTGAGAAACGACTGCGAAGTTGGAGCATTAATTCCTATGATAATGAAAGACAAATTTGTATGAGGCGTTTAATAACAATTAAATTAAATCACATATTCAAAACGGAAGCGAAGTGTTAATATAAGATTGAGCAGAAAGTAGTAAAAGAGAAGAGGAAATAGAAGCGCGCATGGATGGAACCTCTTTTAGCCAATTCAGAAGAAGTGAAGCCGGTGGAAGTGATGAGAAGAGACAGAAACTGGCCCAATCCGAGGCCTATTAACGTGTTTTTGGTCCAAAACCTGTGAAAATCGATCGTCATATTTTCCTACTGAGAGAGAGAAAGGGATTGTGTTGGTGATTTAATTGAAATTAGACGGAAGCGAATGTTTGTCGTGGTGGGGTTGGTGAGAACTGAGAAAGCATTCGATTATTGCTATGTTGTGTTCCGTTTCAGCCGTCGATTATTGCTCACTCTCACTGCAAAGTCCAATCAATCGCATTCGCTGCCCAGCCGCAACTCCATCATGCGCCATTGACCTTTTTATATAACTCTATCCTTGTTATTATGCAAATTAGCAACAAAGTCAATCTGAATTCTCTTTATGAAAACAGATCAATTTAAAAAGTTTTTTTTACTGACCAAAAAATTAACGAGTCATGTTTTCCTCATTAAGAAAAGTACTTTCTATATTTTTTTGCTATTAAATTAGATAACGAATGTCATATGCATAAAAAGAATTATACCAAGTAAATAATCAATTCTCTTTAGGCAAGTCTTGATTGGCCAAGCTTCAATTTGAGCGTGACTGCACATACATACGTAACATATAAAGTCCCTTTAGAGTGTGGAGTGGTCAAAAATTGTATCATGGGTTACTTTTTGCTTTTTGATAAAACAAAGTTATGCTATTCCTTTAATGGTTAACAACTCCTTTCAGCCGCGTAATGTGCTTTTCCTTTTTCGTTTCGGCCGTTTCGTTTTACTTTACATTCCACGGCCAGCAAGGTACAGAAATATCTTGGACCATTATCGAATATGGTTAATTAATTAACTTTGCTATATTATTGGTTCATAGGTAATATTTAATGTACTGTCAACAATGTGCTTAGTGGCAAAGACCATTCAGTTACGAGGGGGCAAGTGGACAACTTCTGTGACGTTGCAGACTCATTTTCCAATGCCCCATCTCAATCATTTTTATCAAGTAAACAGGTCATTCAATTAATTAAAACACTATTTAATTATTCACTCATCTAGTTATAATTCTATTATAATAAAATTAATGGTAATTATATCTGTTTTTAAATAACACAATTTATTAGAAATAAATGTAAAAGTATGAAAATTAAATTATTTAAATTTGAAACTAATTTACACACCATTTAACAATTTTTTATTTCATTAAAAATCCTCAATATAAATATAAGTCTTTATAAAAAAATATTTACAGAAAATGCGTGCGTTATTCATCTTTGTTTTGCTTGCATGTTAAAAAATGCTTTAAATTTAAATTTAAAATTTTCTTTTATTTTAACCAAAATTTAAAATATAAATATAAATTCATTTTTTTATTTTAATCAAAATTAAAATTGAAACTTAATTTTTTATTTTCTTTTTATATTAATTAAAAGTTTAAATTCGAAAATAAAATTTATATTTCCTTTTTACTGTGAGGAAAGTTTAAGTTTAAAAAGTTTATACAAGTCTTTCGTACTAATTCCTGAATCAAGTTTCCACATTGGCATTTTGCGTTCCATTTGTCTGGCCAATTATGCCCTTGGCTCAATGTGATAATCAAACTCTACCACCACGTGACAATATAGAAATAAAAACCAAAAAAAACATATTTTTAATAAAATGAAATTAAATAGTTTTTAAAAATATATAGAGTAAATAAAAAGTTACGTCTGTCTTAACTCGTGTCTTGTTCACTCTAACTTATTAAATTAGAGAATGATGTTATATCAAAATCAAGAACAGCACAATTCAATGAATTCATTCTTAATTTTTAAGTGTGTTAAAATTCAAGTCTTTTAAAATAATTACACCATAATTTTATTTTATATATGCCCTTTTTTCATTTACAGTTTTACGTTCAGAACAAAATATTTACATTTTTAATTGAATTTGAAGAAAAAAATTTTTTAATATATTATTAGAAAATACAATAGTTTATAAAATTTTTCTTATAATATTTTTTTAATAATATTTATAATTATTTAAAAACTAAAAAATTATGTGCGTACAAAATATTAATTATCTTTTTAAGAGTGGTAAGAACACACTTCTAATTAGTTAAAGTTTATTAAAAATTACAAAAATATAAGTGAAAAAGAGAAAAAGTAAAATTTACGTTATTTTTATAAATTTTAATAAATTTTAACTAATACATAAAAGTGTTAAAGAGTGTATTATTAATATTTTTTTAAAATAATAAGTAAATCAAAAAAATTTCATATATTGTATTAGTTCATAAATACATGTGAGATGTATGATATATAAATTTAAAAGTTTTTAAGAAAAAAATAAATATTTTTTATTTAATTTAACCAGTTAAGTATTGTTTTAATGGTAATTTTTAAATATTTCATTGTATTTACTATTGATAAATAAAGCTAATCAAGGTATTTAAAGAAATTAAATATCTCATTTGTTAGATAACCAATCAAAAAGAAAAGAATATTTATTTTAACTCATAAATTTTTATGAAAAATGTGTCACGAAAAAAGTAAATTATAATTAATTAACTTTTGTAAAAATAAATACTCAAATATATATATCATAAAAGTTGTCTGTAGATTAAACTTTTGCACTCCTTGAATAGTTGACATTTGCATCCCATATGGTTGACCAATTATACATCCTTTCCTTGTCGTGATAATCAACCTACTACTTGACAATATATAATAAACTTGCGTAAAGAAGTTTTATAATTTTAATAATAATAAAAATATAAAGCAAATAAAAAGGTTTCATCCATCTTAAGTCATGTCTTATTCACTCTAACTTAATAAATTAGAGAAAGATTTGGTACAAACAATGAACGTATCATTAATATATTTAAGACATAAATTTTTTAAATGTATACTTTTAAAGTTCAGAAAAAATATTTAAAAATGAAAATTCATCTAATATAGCCGTTAAAAGACAGTAATAGTATTTTTACAATAACATTTTAATTTTTGTAAGATACTAAAAAAATTATTTAATGCATAAAAACTGCTATACAGGCATAGGTCAGATGGCTCAGTACAATCAATTAAATTGCCTCATTTGGTATATTTAATAATTTCACAATTCACATGCCATAATAATATCCATTGACGACTAACGCCATATCAATCGACACCAACGATTCCTTTCTCTTTTTATTTTGTTTATCACACAGCGCTTCCCATTGCGTGAATCCTGCTGTGGTGCTTTCTCCATTCTGAATATTGAAAATTAAGATTCTACCCTCACGCAACACAACACAACACAACACAAATAGAGGTTGATATTGTACTGTTCTATTAACCTTAAATATTAAGCTGCAGTCCTAGGTAGATAGATAGATAGATAACATAACGCAGCTTAGAAGCAAGTTGTGAGAAGTCAACACCAACCAGAAACATGTCTCCGCATCATCTCATTCTATCCTCAAAGTTGATGACTACACCCTGTCTCAAAATCATCACCTCCCTATTCCTTTTTTCTCTCTTCTACACCATTGTTTCCACCTTCTTCACCTCACCTTCATCTTCACCTTCACATGAACTCCATCAACACTTGCAAAAATCTCACTTTGATTTCTGCCCAAGTAACTACACCAATTACTGTCCATGTCAACACCCCAAAAGGCAAAAACGCTTCCGCAAAGCAAAACAATTCCGAAATGAGCGTCACTGCCCTCAAAGCACTGAGAAGCTGAGGTGCCTCATTCCAAGCCCCGTGGGCTACCAAAGCCCGTTTCCATGGCCTAAGAGCAAGGAGAGTGCATGGTTTTTTAACGTGCCTTTTCCTAAGCTTGTGGAGTATAAGAAGTCACAGAACTGGGTCAAGTTGGAAGGTGACCGTTTTGTGTTTCCTGGAGGTGGCACTTCGTTTCCCGAAGGAATCAAGGGTTATGTAGGTGCTCTAAACCGTCTTCTTCCTGTGCCTTTGGAATCTGGGGCTATTAGAACAGTTCTTGATGTTGGTTGTGGGGTAAGCTTAGCTTAATTATGCTTTTTGATCTCTTCCTTTAAAGTGCTTCAATGCCTTATCTTTATTTTGTCCTCTCTCTTTTGGCATGTTATGATAGTGAAAAGTGAAGTTGGTTACTTATTCATATGTTTTCTTATCTTGTAGATTTTTAGACTGTTTTTTTAATGATTACTAGGGAAAGAAAAGGCACTTTTTCCTTTTATTTGATTGTCCATTCATGGTGTTGAAGCTGTTTAGTTCTACTAATTATGACCCATTAGTCACAAACTTTGGCTAACTGCATGATTGTAGGTTGCAAGCTTTGGAGCTTCTCTATTGGACTATGATATCTTGACAATGTCAATTGCGCCGAGTGACGAACACGATGCTCAAGTACAGTTTGCTTTAGAAAGGGGACTTGCAGCGATGCTTGGAGTACTAAGCATTCATAGGCTAACATTCCCTTCAAGATCATTTGACATGGTTCATTGCTCTAGATGCCTTGTGAAATGGACTTCTTACGGTACTACTTTAATCTCTGATACTATATGTATGCATTAGAAAAATATCTAGAACTTGGTTTTGACTTACGATGCTAATATATATTTGATAGATGGACTATACCTAAGAGAAATTGATCGGATTTTGCGTCCTGGTGGATTTTGGGTACTGTCTGGGCCACCCATAAATTGGAGGGTAAACTACAAATCGTGGAAAATAGAACCTCAGGTGTTGGAAAAGGAGCAGAACATTCTAGAAGAGCTTGCTATGCAACTGTGTTGGGAAAAAGTTGCTGAGAGAGAACAGATTGCTGTCTGGCAAAAACCCATAAATCATATCAAATGTATACAAAAGCTGAAGACTCGGAGATCCCCCAATTTTTGCAACTCATCTGACCCTGATGCTGGATGGTAAGTTTCTTCTGTTCAAAATTACCATTGTTAAGACAACACTATAGGCAAATTACTATTTTACTAGGATTTTATCAGGGTTATCATAGGCATTCACATTGTATACATAGATACAAATATATTTTTGTTAAAATATATTGCTATACCCTTATCTTAATATTTTAAAAAAATCCATATTTGTGTAGCATACTGTACCCAATACTTGTATCCACACTCTCGTTGTCCGGAATTTAAGCCAGAACTTTGAATTTTCTGTTTTGCTATGGTTTCTGTTGACAAATTTTCTCATAGTATGTTTATTCCAGATTATTGTATTGATACTTGATAGATATGAACTATTCAACAGGTATACCAAAATGACTGCATGCATTTTTCCTCTTCCAGAGGTGAAAGGTGTCCATGAAATATCTGGTGGAGTTCTTGAGAAATGGCCTCTGAGGTTGAACACTGCTCCACCGAGGGTTAGAAACGAAAATACTGATGGTGTCGCACTCAAAAGTTATATTGAAGATAATCAAACGTGGAAAAGGAGAGTATCCAAATATGGGATGATGCTTAAATCCCTCTCTTCTGGTAAATATCGAAATGTTATGGATATGAATGCTGGCTTTGGTGGATTTGCGGCTGCAATGGTGAAATTTCCAGTTTGGGTTATGAATGTTGTTCCCTTTGATGCAAAAAGCAACAATCTTGGCATTATCTATGAACGGGGTCTTATAGGAACTTACATGGATTGGTATGCGCAGCTTGTCATCTTTACTTTCTCCTTTTTAATCTCTGAAGAATCTTCTCAGGTTTTTTTTTTTTGTTTTCACTTTCTGTTTTAAAATATCTATTGTATACTGATTTGGTTTGTTATAAGGATTTCAAGATGTGTTTACTCATTTACTGTTTAGTGTAAAATATTTCACTATAATCTGCTTTTTTGCTCTGTTCTTTTCTCATTTCCCCCATTTTCTTCAATCTAAAATTGTTGCATTGTCCTTTGAGACATGTAGTTTCTCTTATTTTGGACGTCTTGACTGGTTATTCGTTTTTATCTTCATGCGTGTACTTTTTCTGGGTATCTGAGTGTGTACTTTTGAGCTTGTAAATAATGAAGGAAAAACATTGTTTTGCTTGCAGGTGTGAGCCCTTTTCAACATACCCACGAACTTATGACTTGATACATGCTAGTGGTGTATTCAGTATGTATATGGACAAGTAAGCTTAAACATACCAGCATAGATTATTCGGGCAATTTTACTATTATTACAAATGCTCATAAACTTGTATTTATGGTTCAAACAATATCTCTAAGCTCTGACCTAGGAAATAAAAAATAGCTATTTATGATATATTAATATATAATAATGTCTCGTGCAGGTGTGACATTACTGATATTCTTGTGGAGATGCATCGAATTCTTCGTCCCAAAGGAGCTGTAATTATAAGAGATCATGGAGATGCAATTCTTAAAGTAAAAGAAATAACAGATAAAATAAGATGGAAAGGAAAGGTGGTGGCTGGTGATGAGGATGGAGCTTTTCATACAGAAATGATCATGATTATTGACAATGCTGATTAAAGTAATTATATTGTTAGTCCTATTAATAGTAGAACCTTTGTTCATTTCCTCTAGGCTAGCTTTGGATAGATCAATTTTGCAGAATCATTATTTTAGTAGTTTCTTAAACTTTATTTTATACATTGAAGGCCCAAGCATGCACATGGATAGAGGAGGACATGTGGCCATATAGAAAATAAACCTCACTCGGGCTTTATTGTTTTGATAAATGATAGATTATCATTGATTCAAGAAGTGAACGAAGAAAAATACGGCATAAGAAGCCAAACTACCAACAATCTCTATTATAAAATGCATAACATAGTGACACCTTAACCAAGAAAAAACATGGCTGAGATTTACCATGTGCCAAGGTTATACAAGTTTGGTTGCGACTGGAACATGATTTTAATAAATATATGGGATACTTGAAATTGAAATTATAAAGTTGACATTTGCTGATCAATACAAGATAAGTTATAAAACAAGAAATAAAAACTATAAGCCATAAGGAGGTTATAGACAATTTTTTTTACCCTAACTTGTCTCTATAATCACCTCGATTACTACTTACTCTATTGTTAAGTTCGAGTTTTTTTTTTTAGTTTAAAAGCAATTACAAATTCACATAATTAAAATTCAAGGTTCTAAAAAAAATTTAAGTAGCATTCAATTTTATTATTCAACATATAAGTTTTTTCTTGTATAGCAAGGATTTTCTATACCTGAAAATTCAATTATAAGGAATCTAGTTTCCGTCACCCCCTTAATTATGTAATTTATATAAAATATATGATGTACTCTATGTTATTATTTGTTAAATTACCTTACAAGCATTACTTATCACCTAAGATAAATATTTAGAATGTTTGCATCCCCCTCCTATCATATTTATTCTTATCGCGGCATTATCACTAAATGAATTATAAATAATAATCACAAATTATCAAAGTAAAATATATTTTAATATTATTTACTGTATTTACATAAGGTAAATATTAATTAATGTCTCTACTAAAATAAAATAAAAAATATTAGAGAAATATATAATATTGAGAATATAAAAGTTACCTAACACATATTTTAAATGATTAAAACATATGATGCACATAAAGTTCTAAAATTGTTAGAAAGCATTCCTTTTCACAAAATTAAAATCTCATTTGTTTAAAATTTCACTATTTTTTAACTTTAAAAAGTCACCTTTAACTTTTGTAGTGTTTACATTTAAAATAAAAAATATTTATTATTATTTCGAGTAACTTAAAACAATAAAAAAACTAAAATTATAACAAATTTTCAGAATCAAAATTATATTTTACGATTATAACTAAACGAAAAGAAAATACATTATCTAAAATCTTTTGAAGAAAATAACTTTTTGAAAATTTAAAAAGGAGCCCTAAATTTGAGATTGCGGGCAAAGCGTAACCCGTGTTTGTGCGTCTTGCTTGCACTGGTGGAGTAGACAACATACGCGAGGAAGGTATTATGTAACTCTCATCACTGTAATATCAAAATTAGTTCCATTGAACGTTGTTCTCTTCTGCGGCGGCGCGTAGCATTCCTTATCCCTGTGACGCTGTTGTGTGGACTGTGTAGTTATAGTTATTCATTTATAGTGTAATATTGCTACTTCCTTCGTTTCCTCGCTTCACGTTGTTGTGTTAGGGTTTATGGTATGCGCAAGAGAAGAAAAGAGAAGAGAGTGTCTGATTCGTATTATTCTTATACTTACATTAATATTATTTTCGTTGATAAGTAGAAGGCGTAATAACTGAACAATTAAGGTATGGGGTCACACTCGCATTCGCTGAAGAGGAAGTCGCCGGAAGAGCCATCGACTTCAAATTCGCAAATAGTGCATGATTGTGTGCATCACGTCTCATATCCAGATGGTTACGCCCACCCTCCTTCTTCATCACCTCACGCTCACACTGAACCTGCTAAGAAGTTCCCTTTTCCGCTCGACCCTTTTCAGTCCCAAGCCATTGTTTGCCTTGAAAACGGTGAATCCGTCATGGTCGGTATCTTCTCTCTTTCTCTGTTTTTAACCGTTAATTCAAATTATAATGAAACATAAAGTTCTTTAAAAGATAATAATAATTATGTGGATGATTGGCTTTCTCAGTGGTTTTTGTTACTTAACTTAGGTGTCTGCACACACGTCTGCTGGGAAAACCGTGGTGGCGTTATATGCGATTGCTATGTCCCTCCGCAATGGCCAGCGCGTTATATACACTTCCCCTATCAAGGCACTTAGCAACCAGAAATATAGAGAATTCAAGGAAGAATTCTCCGATGTTGGTTTGATGACGGGAGACGTCACCATTGATCCCAATGCTTCTTGCTTGGTAGGTATGCTGCTCTTTTTTACTTTCATATTTAGCTTCTTAATATCGTGTTGCCTTTTGTCTCATAAGTCATGATTGGAATATATTTGTTTCAGGTCATGACTACGGAAATCTGGCGTAGCATGCAGTACAAGGGGTCTGAGATAACCAGGGAGGTGGCTTGGATTATTTTTGATGAGGTGCATTACATGCGAGATCGTGAGAGAGGTGTGGTTTGGGAAGAGAGCATTGTTTTGTCGCCCAAGAATTCCCGTTTTGTCTTCCTGTCTGCCACCGTCCCGAATGCAAAGGAATTTGCTGATTGGGTTGCAAAGGTGGTATAATCTTTATTATTATATTGAATTTGTTCTTTAATTGGGGAATGGGGTGATAAATGGTTATCTAATGCTTTAGGTTACTTGCAGGTGCACCAACAGCCTTGTCATATTGTTTATACTGATTACCGGCCAACTCCCCTTCAGCATTATATTTTTCCTGCTGGAGGTAATGGTCTATATTTGGTTGTGGATGAAAAAGGAAAGTTTCGTGAAGAAAGCTTTCAGAAAGCTTTGAATGCTCTTGTTCCTGCCGGTGATGGTGATAAGAAAAAAGAAAATGGCAAGTGGCAAAAAGGTTTGGTGATGGGCAGAGTTGGTGAAGAAAGTGACATATTCAAGATGGTGAAAATGATCATTCAGCGTCAATATGATCCTGTGATACTGTTCAGCTTTAGCAAAAGGGAGTGTGAATTTCTTGCAATGCAGGTAAAGTCCAATTTGGTATTCATTGTTAGAAGTATCTGTTCATTTTCTTTCCATTTTCTCGTGTATACTATATCACTGATATCCTTTTTGGTTTCTGTAGATGGCAAAAATGGATCTTAATGGGGATGACGAGAAGGACAATATAGAAAAGATATTTTGGAGTGCTATGGATATGCTTTCAGATGATGATAAGAAGCTGCCCCAGGCAAGATATTTCCTTAACTGTGGTGTTTACCCCCTTTGGGGCACATTACCATTGCTTATGTAGATTTATTAGTTTAGTGCTTCTCATTTCTCAAATTGTTTGACAAAATTAAGTAGAGGTTCTAATTGAATATTGATTAAAGGTCCTTCTCAATTGGGGAGAGTTGAAACCAAACTCAATTTCCATAGTATTTATCAGCTTGGTTATTTGGGAACTTTACCTAGTCTCTACTGCATAACCTTTGCTGCTGTTGTGGTTCAAAACTCATCTTCGGATCTTCCTCTATTGCCAGGGGAATGAAAATTCCAATTTGATTGAGGACATTGGGAATTGTTTATGGGGGGAATTATATAGATTTTATAGTTGAGGAAAGCCTCTAGCAAATCATTGCTGCCCTAGAATCCTCCCAAAACTCGCTTGAGGTTTAAGCTTGTCCTTTCTTTATGCTATTTCTTTTTGAGTTATTGTCTAGAAATACAATAATTTCATTCTAGTTGAGCATGATGCTGTTTGTCACATTTTAGGTATCTTTTATTTTTTGTTGATTTTTTCTTTCATTTTTCAGGTTTCAAACATGCTGCCCTTGCTGAAGCGTGGAATAGGAGTACATCACTCTGGTTTACTCCCAATTTTAAAGGAAGTGATTGAGATCTTATTTCAAGAAGGGCTAATCAAGGTTTGTGGAAGAAATGATGACATAAAATACTTTCTTCATCCGTGTAAAATGCGAATCGGTGATATAACTGGATGCTCACACCTTAATTAAAAGGATAAATTATTTACCTCAAATTGTACTTCCTATTGTCTAAACGATAAAATATTACATTATCAACATGAACTTCTTGCTGGTGAAGGGATTTAACAATAGTAGGTTAGCTAGTAGCAAATAGCAATTGTAGCAATCGGTTAGCAAGCATCACATGCTACTATATGTTATATCCTTGCTTTGATTTCTTTTTGGAAGAAAATATTGTTAAAAAGGAGAAATAATTACATCTTTGGGAAAATAAGATATCCTCCTATACAGATAAAGTGAGAAACAAATAATCATCAAGCCCAAATGACTCCAAATTTCCACAAATTTTGTCAATTTCTTTTCCTTGCATACTTATAAAAATTCCCTTGATACAACAATCAGCAGAGTGCCAAAGAAAGGCAGTGAACAAAATTCTATCATTGAAAATACAGGAATTCCTTCCCAGCCAAATAAACCTGATAATTGTATAGGCACACTCTATCATAAATTCGTAATTTTCTTGTTCCTGTCAAAATCTGGAAAACTAACCTGAGGAATTGCTCTGTGGGGAAAGGATGCACCCAGTGTTTACCAACAAAATGTGCCTTCAGAAATCTTTACTTCCTCATCCATTCTTCACATTCTAATGAAGATGAAAATTCCAAGAAACACTATGAGCTTGAATAGATCCTTATATGAATGATTGAGCATAGAAGATAAATATTATAGTCAAGGAAAAGCCTTTTAAATTGATTATTGCTCCAAAACCAAACCCAAAAAAGTTTGTGGTTTAAAACAAACCACTACAAATTATTGTTGCTTTAAAATCTCATTATACTATTCAGGGTTTCCTTTTTCTCATTTTTGCTCAATTGTTTTGTTCTCAACTTTTGATTCTTCTAAGATTACTATTGTATTTTAGTAGCAAATATATTTTCATATCATCTTCTCTGTTAATATTGATACAGTAAAAACTCCCTGTTTTATTAAAGTTACACTTTTCCAAGAGCTGAAATATTTTTCTTTAGTGTTTGTTTGCCACAGAGACCTTCAGCATTGGTTTGAACATGCCTGCAAAAACTGTTGTTTTTACAAATGTCCGGAAATTTGATGGGGACAAATTTAGGTGGATATCCAGTGGAGAATATATACAAATGAGTGGTCGTGCTGGTCGACGGGGGATTGATGAACGTGGAATATGTATCCTCATGGTTGACGAGAAGATGGAGCCTTCTACTGCTAAAAATATGGTTAAGGGGGCAGCTGATAGTTTAAACAGGTAAAATGTTGGTTT